TGTTAATTTTTACCATTATTACTTGCTTAAGTATATATATCTGTGCTATCTTCAGAAAGCTGACAGTAGTATTTATGTAGACAACTAAGAAATATCTTGCATAACATTTTTTAAGGATTATCAAAATTCTGATAAATACTTTCTGGGAAAATCTGCCAAAATCTTTTTACCAATGCATATTTCTAAAAGACTCACAAAAAGTCTACTACTGGTCATTTAACTATACTTACTAAAACCTAGCTCTAAAGGATCACTTTGTAAATTGGAACTATAAACAAATGTAAAACCTTCTTCAAGGAAATCATGCATAATAAATACAATTGCTTGTAGTGTTGTAATTAGAGCACAAGAAGTTTGTTTGGTTAATATAAAGTATTTATCAAATTTTATTTTGATCAAATTTCAGTACAATTTGCAATTTCTCTATAAAGTGTTTGTTATCACCTTTCAAAGCATAATTGCTGAGTTTGATTGGATGAATTAAGTTTCTGCTTTGAATTAAGTATGATAAATAACTTATAAAACAATAATAAAAATTGTGCTGCTTATTACTTTCAGAAAAATAACTCTAAATTACAGCTGCAGTTGTTTCGTCAAATATTGTCCATGTTGACAACTTGTTTGTTGTTTCCAAAATATGTGACTTGATAATTAATTTAGCTTTTTCCTCTTTAATAATTAAAAAAACAAAAACCGAGAATAACAAGTATGTTTTAAACACTTATTTTCTAAACTAAATGATAAATTAATAATTTTCCATCTCTAGTATATGCTTTGTGAAACTACTTAAATGCATTAACATTTGTAGAATGGTTATCAGTAACAACAGCTCTTATCTTAAATTGGTGCAATGAGGTAATCAATTTCTTTTTTCAAACATAAACTTGTTATGTAAACTTTAGATGAGGATTTTAAAACATAAGAATAATAATAATTTTTGAAGCCCTACAATCATAAAAACAAAAACAACTTTTTTAAAAAGATTATTTTCTCAATCTTCATCAAATTGTTTATCACTTTGATAATGGGCTGCTTTTTGAAGTACATCTTCCCACAAGAAGAAAATAATCTTATAATACCAAATTTTTGTAAAGGATTTTTCTAATATATTATATTTTTTCAATTTGTAATTTTCACCACTGCGAAACCATTTAAATAAATTTTATTTATTTGGCAATGAAAAAAATTAGAATTTTATTAACAGCTATTGACTCCATAACAGTTGGTGTGCCTGATATTTCTTGCCTACTGTAAATAAATGACCTGATTTGTTGCATTTTAATTGCTGTATGTTTGAGACATGCAACATAATAAAGTATTTACATTGCAAAACCTTGTTTTGCAGTGTAAATATTTTAAAGAAAAGTTTATGTTTTCAACTTAATAATTGCAATTATATTAATTACAAAATTACAAACCTTTAAAATTATTTTCAATATGTTAGTTTTAGCAATATGTAAGATTATTTTTAGTAGCATGTTGGTATGTGTATAGCTATGTATAGCTATCTGAAAGCCTATTTCAGTATTCTTTGTTATTGGAATAAACTGAAGCAGGCAATCAGTTAACAAAAAATCTAGCACAAAATAACGTAAGAACTCAAAGAAAATCTAACTATTACTAAACCATTTTAATAAAATAAAAAAAATACAATTATAGTGCAAACAAGACTCTTAACCATAACAAAAATTAAGTTTTTATACTTGAGCTGTAAAAAAACTGGCCTCTTAATTTTTTACGGAAAATGCAACAAAACAGGCAGTGTAATTTAAGTAGGCCATGTTATCATCTACTACAAGAAAGTGAAATTATAAATACCTTCTTTTTGTGTAATTTCAGATGATTTGAATCATGATATTGGATTTATCAACGAAGTTATGCATAAAACCATTAATTATATAATTAATTATATAAAAACTCATCTTTGTCTCGCAATTACAAAAATTCATTATTTTTCTGATGGCTGTGCAGGGCAGTATAAAAATTGCAAACACTTTTACAATTTATGTCACCATGCTCAAGATTTTTCTGCTCGATGCATATGGAATTTCTTTGCAACAAGCCATGGTAAATCTCCATGCGATGGAAAAGGTGGCACTGTTAAAAGGCTAGTTTCAACTGCTAGCTTGCAGAGTCCAACCACAGGTCGAATACTGTCTTCTAAAGCAATGCTTAAATATTGTCAAAAGTCAATCAGTGGGATTATATTTGTGTACGCCCTTGCTGAAGAGATGGAGCTAGTGAAAATCAAACTAAGTGATAGACTTTTAAAAGCAACCACTATTCCTGGGACATGAAGTTTCCATCAATTTATACCTTCTTCTCATTCAATTATAAAAATGAAAAGGGTATCCGATGATGATGATTTTGCTCTAACATTTGACTTCAATAAACAAAAATATGAAAATATGATATATATATATATATATATATATATATATATATATATATATATATATATATATATATATATATTTTTAATTATATATATATTTAATTATATATATATATATATATATATGTATATATATTTAAAATATATATAATTAATTTAATATATATATATATATATATTTTTAATATAGATTTTTAACCAATATAAAGGAAAAGATAGTCAAACAAGTAAACGAAAGGAAATCTATTTTTCTCAAAATATTTATTATTAAAAAAATTTTTTAATTTCCAAAATATTCACTAATACCAAATATTTCTATATTTATATAATTAATTAAACTATATTAATTAAGCACTAGAGGCCTTTCAAAAAATCATCAGTAACGCTGTTTTAGTATTGTTGCAAGATTTATGTATTAAAAACAAAAAATAATTTAAATTGCATATTGTTTCTATGAGTAACTTTTGTGAGGAATTAAATTCTAATAATACACAGGAAGTATCAATTAAAAGTATCATGTTTTTGTTTGTGCAGATGCTTTTTATATGATAACAAAAAAACTTTCATTATTAAGGTCAAGGAAAACAAAAAGTTGGAAAAAAGGTTCAATTACACGGTGGGAAAGTTGACAGATATAAACATGGTTGTCAAATCTATCAGTTAATAGGCCAGTTCTTCAATTAGAAACATGTTCGTTTATTTGTAATCTTAAATTGTTATTTTTACCAATATATGTGGCTTGTTTTTTTGCATGACAAACATTTAAGGTAACAAATTACATTTTTGCTGTTGTAGTGATGTGACTTTTTATTTTCCAAATAGTACCATTAGAAGTTTCAAACTCATTTATTTCGTGAAGGTAGAGTTTACATATTTTACACCGAATGTCTTTGCATTTAAATATGCCAACCTTCTTATTAGTTGCTTCAACTTTTGAAGAAGTAAGTCTTCTTAGTAAGTTAGGAAGTTGTTTAAAAGCTAATACCAGATGATTATTAGAAAAAATATTTTTGACTCTTTCATTATGAGATACTTTGAGTAAAAGGTTAGTTTCTGAAATTAAAGATTGACAATTGAGATTACTATAGAATGTTGTCACTAAAAGAAAAATTTCTTTAGACTTCTTTTGTGGTGCCGGTCCTTTTAGTTTTGCATTAAGGAATGCTTTATCTATAATTTCATCAGGATATTCACAATCTTTTAACCACGAATTAACTTCTGCTAGACGAAGTTTTTCAATATCATAATTAGATTTAAAAACAATTATTCTTTTAGCTAAATTATAAGGAATATTCTTTTTGATGTGAAATGGATGATGACTGTTATAGTTTAAGTATTTATGAGTGTTTCTTTGTAATAACTTATATAATTATATGCTAAAAGTTTTAAAAACATTTAGCCTGATATAATTATATGCTAAAAGTTTAAAAAACATTTAGCCTGATATAATTACATCCTAAACGTTTTAAAAACTTTATGTCTGTTTAAACTTTTTTGTAATTTTCAAGAATAATTGTGATGTCTAAAAAGTTAATTACACTGTAGGTGTTTTTTTTTTAGAAAACTCCTTGCCAAAATCAGTTGTAAAACTAATTGAATCATTTAATTCAGTAAAAGAAATGTTTTGGCTAGATACTAAAACCATTATCAAAATATCTAAAAAAAAATGTCTCTATATCCTCTACTTCACTGTTGGAAAAATACTAAGGTAGGATTATTGGGAAAAGGTAGGCTTATTGGAAAAACTCTTTTCTAGAAACCCGATAGTTCGACAAGCATAATCTGGTGCAAAATCTGTACCAGTTATTTGGTGGAGTAATTGTTTATCGAATATGAAACTATTGTTATTTAAAATAAAATATACTGAGTTGATTATAAATTCAGGTGTAAATCTTTAATCTATCAATTCTTTATATTTAAATATCCAGAACTTTAGGACTTTTAAACCAAGATAAGTAAAGGTAAACAATATCGTATGTCATTATACGACTTTCTGATTCAAAATCTTCTAAAATTTTTTAGAGGAAATCTTAGTCATCTTTAATAAAAGATTTTTGTTTCTTTACATTTGGTGATAAAATGTAAAAACTGACTCAAATAAGATATTGGTAAATTTATTCTGGCAGTCAGAGTCTTTTAAATAATTAATGATTTCTTGACATTTGTGAATTTTAGGAATTACATAGAAATTACAAGATTTATATTTAAAGTTTGTGAAATATGTTGTCTCATTCCTCGTGAGGCATTTATATTTATTTATCAATTTAATAAGATTGCTAAAAACTATTTTATCAGATTTAGAACTCATTTTTTCATATTTATTAACAGAAAAAAAATGGTCTTGATAAACAAGTTTGGAACCCATTTCCAACCCTAAATAACGCTCTTGAAGGCTTGATGAAAAGTGCTCATTATGGCACTCATAAAAAACGTGTTTCAGTTATACGGGGCCAAAATATCGCGCTGGGAGATTTTATTCTTTACATGCACTGATATATATATATGTGTTGTCTATCATTAGGAAACATATATATACCCTGAAAATAAAAGAATAACATTGGACTAATACCTAATAGTCCTGCTGTACAGGATAGCTTTTACTTACAAAATTGTGTCTTGGTTTTTCTTCGAGTTAATGCAGGTATTACGCAAGAAGCGTACAGAATGATATAAATTGCATAAATCTTCTTCTTTAACTTCATGAAAAGAATCCAAATATTTCTTCACATTTTTAAAGTCGTCAAGTTTAATGTTCTCACTACAAAATAAGAAAATAAATTTTAATTTTTTATCAAACATTATGAAAAAAAAAAAATTAATATTATTGTTAGTATTTTATTTAATATTTTTCAAATTATCTATTTTCATCAATAAATATATCTTTATCAGTATATATTTTCTTGTGTATAACTATGTAATAATACAATTAAAAGTTTAATTAAGAAGAATTATCTGAATATAATTCTAGAATTTAAGAATATAAATAAGTTTTTTTTCAACAAAAAAATTAAATCAATTCAAAATATTCCAGTATTTTTCACCATAAAATATATACTATCATTAATTATGATTCTTTTTAGTAACAGAAGCTCTTAACAATTATAATGGTGGTTTTACACTATAGTTTGCTTTTTCCTTCCCCAGGGTTAAGGAGCCTTCAGCGAGGATGAGGAGCCTTCACAAAGGTTAAGGAGCCTTCACCAAGGTTAAGGAGCCTGACCTGTCCCAGAATTTTTTACTTATATTGTATTTACATATTAATACAGCTTACCGATATTCAATTTTTTTTGCCAAATCAGCCAGCTGTAAGTAATTTGATTGCATTCTTCAATTTTTCAAAGTTTAATGCTTTATGCCAAATATATGCGGAAAGTAATAATGATATAAAACTATGATATAAATATGATGTAAAAAAGTTATTATTTTCTAGTAGACTGGTTTTTATGTAAATATCAAGTTGCTGTTTTGATTAATTACAATAAAAAAAAAAGGAATAAAAAGAAAAAAAAAAGGTCCGGTAAAAAATAAAGAAATTAGTTATAAAGAAATAGTTATATCAATATAAAACTAAGAAAATCAAAAAGTTGTATTTTAATTAAAAAAAAAATTATTTTAATTCAATATAAAAATCATCTTAAGAAATATTTTGTTTAAAAATTTAAAAATAGCAAACATAAGAAAATTTTAAAATATAGAAACTTCATTATATGTTCAAACTTATATAGAAACTTCAGTATATTTTCAAACTTACATGGAAACTTCAATGATGATAATAATTAGGTTGATTATAATAGATAATCAAGAATAATATTATTACAGAATCTTCTTTGCATAATAATTTCAAAAAATTGAATAAATAAACTGTTTGATCATAAACTACTTTATAAACAGCTTAAAATGTAATCGCTACAAAATTACTGAAGATAAACAAAGATAAATTTCCAGATAGGTTGCTATTGAACTCAAACCTCCTCATTAAGTAAAAATTCAATATAAAATATATTTAATTGTGTAGAAATATATATATAAGAATGAATTTAAAGAAAAGAAAAATATCCTTCTTTGCGATATAACTTAAAAATAAAGTAAAAATAAAATTAGTAAAAAAAATTTGGTGCTGCATCAACTCTGTAATTGAATGAAAACCTAAAAAACAAAAACAAAAATTTATTTTAAGGTTATGTATTAAAAAACTAAAATAGTTTTAGTATTATTATTATTATTATTTTAGTTTGTAATAAAAATTAATATTGTAATTTGCAATATTTTTTATAATTTTAAGAATTTTAAAACAAAAATAAGTTTTGTTTTCATAAAAAAACTTTCTTTTGCACCTAAAAATTGAAAAAATAAACCTAAACTCAATATTTGTAAATTTTAAAAACCAACATAGTAAACTGAAAATGATAAAAGAGTGATATGAAGACATCATATTTACAACACAAAATATTTTCAGAATGATAAAATGCATACAACATACAAACGTCTTGAAAAAAAAATTCAAATACCAATAATGGCAGACACAAATATCAGGTGACTCTCAAAAAGCAGAAAAATAATTTTTTTTAGAAAAATCCAAAAAATTGACTTTCAAACTTTGTGAAACTTTGAAAAAATTTTGAATGAACCCATGATAAAATATAACAGAATGACAAAAAAATCAGAAGTATCCCTGGGTTTATTTTAAGTAATACTAAAAAAAAAAAATAGAAACTGTGCCATACTTAGCTGATAGGGGTTTCTAACGAGATAGAGAACATATCAAACTGATAGTAAAACTCTATATAACATTAACTAGTAAAAACACTCTATTCAAAAAACAAACCAAGAAATGAATGTTGCATAGCAACAAATAATGACTGTTGCAAACTGTTTGAAAAAAGATGGAACGAAGTTCTTGAATAAAGAAAAACTTGTGACAAAAGCCAGAGCTCAAAAAACATTGACAAACTTTTTGAAGTTATATGAGAATATATTATAACTACTGTTTCTTCTAATTTTCTTTGAAAAACATTGATTTCTACCATTATTATTACAATTCAAAATTTAATTTTTTATGAGTAGGTGCAGACCAGTTTGAAGTCTATATTGCAAGTCACTACTAGCAATGTAACACTACGTCAATGAACATTGAACCTTGTAATATATATTAAAAATGTTTAATATTATTTATTGTAACCATTATGAATCAAAATGTACACTCAATAGTCTAATGCTATAAGCTTATTAACCATGCTGTGGTTCATGTCAAACAGCATTTTATTAATTGCTCTCAAAGTCATACATAAAAAAGTTAAAGATATAAACAATAAAAGCTAAAAAAAAATTTTTTATAGCTTTTGTTTTTAATTTTACCTTTTTAGCATTTTCTAACTCATCAATTAATTTTTTTAGTTCTTCTTTATTCATTTCTATAGAAAAGACTTTATCTTCACTATCATGTAAATTCAAATCAAGATTTATAATTGGTTGCTTGAGATTAGATACTTTGTCACTTGACATTGCTAGCTAAAGAAAACATTTAATCAATTAAAAGAACATTTACTAAGTTATGAAGAATAAAAAAAAAACAGGAACATTCTTAACTGTAAACTTAACATTTTAATAACACTGAATTTTAATTTCAAAAAAATTGATTTTTTATTTATAGATATAAATTTAACTTCACTTCATACATTAAAAATAATAAATACTACAACATCTTGTTTTTTTATGTAAGTAAACTGTAGTTAAAGTAAAATTTTAAATATCAAAACTTATGAAAATATAATTATAATTTTGAAAAACTTTAAGCAAGAGAACAACAGATACTTAAAAATTTATTAATTTTAGATGAATGAATAACTTTGTTGTGTAGAGCTTAAAATTTTTTTTTTTTTTCTACTTCAAAAAAATATTTGTTTTTTAATAAACTTTGTTCTTTCCTGTATTCTTGTCAACTTAAAAAATTAATACTACAAACTGTAAAAAAACAATTTTTAGTATTAAAGACTACTGTACAAGAAATCAAAACATTTGTAAAGTGAACAATATTGATTTAAAAAAACAGAATAATAAAATCATATACTTTTTATTGCTATCTGTTATTTAATAAACCGCTATATCTGATTTCTATATCTGATGAATCTAACAATTTATAATTAAGGTAGTTTTTGTGAAATTAAAACCAAAATTTCATTCATAAAATACATACAACATAATGCTTCAAAACAAGGCTACCATTTTCCTCAAAGTATCATGATTAATTTATTTTAACTCAGGGAAATCCTGCTCACCAAGGTTAATAATTTTGGATTTAAAGTGGCAGCTTGAACAATTCATCTAGCTTCTCTTTTGAATATGAAAAAATTAAGAAAAGAAGAATAAAATAAACTTAAATTCAATATAAAATTCATTTTAAATGTAAACAATATTTAAAAAAAAAAGTAAACATCCAAAAAGCAAACATGGATTTAAACTTAAGTGAAATTCTTTACAATTTTATTTTTATAAAACTTTTTTTTAAAAAAAGGAAGTTTTTTGAACATACGGTTTAAATACCTTAATGTTCCAATCGAAGTCTTTCAAAAATGTTGAAGTCATGATACTTTATGTCTACCCTAATAATCAAATTTTTAAAAAAATGTATTTAAGATAAAATCTTTTTATTTTTTTAACTTAAATAATAACATTAACTATATAAAAGATATTTATTAGTATATAGCTTTGATACATATAATATTATTTATTAGTGTATTTCCAACATGTGTATTAGCAATATGCCAATACACATATATTTAATACATATACACATACATACACATAATATATACACATAATATATGCACATAAATACTATAACTTTATGTTATTTTTCAATTTTTGATTGTTACTTTAATTATTTATACTATTATAGATATATATAGTATAAATATTATTTATATATAGTATAAATACTTATATATAGTAAATATATTATTTATATATAGTATAAATATTAAAATAACTCTGAATTTATTTACGAAAGAAGAAATTTTATTTAAAGAAATGTTTTTTGTTCTCAACTAATGATTATAATTTTTTCAGAAACATTTATATTTTGGATTAGTATGAAAATATATTATAAGTATAAATAATAATGGTAATAATAATAACATTAAAACAAAGATTCAACTAAATAAAAAGTTTGAAATTTCAAAGTAAATAGATACTGTATTCAGCTTGAGGGAAAGCAACCCCTAAGCTCCTAAGTCAGTTGAACTATAGCAGAATTTCAGTGAATAGTAAAGATACTAGTGGTGACCAACTAATTTATTTTTTTAAGTTTGTCTAGGTAATGTGATATGAAAAAAAAGTATAAACTCAAAATAAGAACCGCTCTAGTATTTAAAAAGTAGTTGTATCGACTGAGCCTCTTTTTTTTGGTAGTTTAGCATATAGAAATAAAACTGACTGCACTTGTAACCAGGAATATAAGGTTCTGATGAGTTGATGTTATAATCATAAGGTTTAAAATTATTACCAGACTCAGCTGTCAATTAAGCTCGTGTTAAATCAAAAGCAGCAAATCTTTTTTTTAAATACTTACGCTAGATCAATGACAGATTTATCAAAAGTTAGAAACCATGTAGTATATAATATGCTAATAAAGGTAACAGTTATTTCTTTTTATTTTCACTGAGATCTAAAACAATAATTTAAAAGATTTATTTATTAAATTTAAAAAAATTTAATAAATAAATGGCCTTAGTCACTAACCTTGGTGAAGTCTTTAGTCTGGGAAAGATTTTTTTTTTTTTTTTTTTGGAGTGAAACACATGAACATTTTAAGCTAGTTTAATATAATTTCCTATTTTAAAGCATTTTAAAAAAATATTAGGCATTTAATTTCTTGAAAGACATTGTTTATAGTTACATAACTATGTACTTTTCTTGGTCATGATACTTTTGAAAAACTTAAGGGCTTCAGACTTCTGTTAGTTAATTTTTTAGGCAGAACAATAAGTCTAATATTGAGCTGGTTCCATATTAACTTAAACTATTTGAATATATAAATCTCAGAATCTCTATTTATTGAAAAATGATTCTTAGTTTGAAATTTTTCTTTATTTTGTTGCAAATTTATTATTTTGTATTTCCTTTTTAATACCAATTTCAACCACTAGAAATGTAAGTGAACTTGTAATTTTATTTTTCATCACATATATATTTCTCATTTCAGACATGAACCACAGAAAAAGACTGACACATTAAAGCATTAAATTCAGCAGACAAGGGCAAACAATGATTGGGGGTTTAGGCAGATAATAGTAGAGTTCTAAAACAACAATTACTAGGTAGATGGAACCTCAGTTTATATATCGAATAAGTTATAAAATTGGATGGACAATATATCCTGTAAAGAAGATTTACTTCAGCAAAAAATTTCATTATTTTTTAACTAATCTTTAGATTCTGAAAAACGTATTTAGATAATATGATAAAAAAAGCAATAAAATAAAGATCTTAACACATAAATCCTAACTCTTAATAAGTACTGAAGCTCCTGCCTAACCTTAATTCAGTATGACATTATCAGTGTATTTGTCAGTATGACATTATCAGTTTATTTTTCAGTATGACATTATCAGTGTGTTGTGCATTTATACTGGTATTTATGTATACATCAAATGCTCCAACTCTCCAGGTTTTGTGAGAGTCATGGTTAAATAACGATTCTCACGATTTCACAGTTGCTCTAAATTTCTCAACGTAAATTTTTAAAAAGTTCAGAAATTTTATTTTAATTAACTCTCAATGTTTTAGCAGTAACAAGGATAAATATAAAATGCGGTATCTTTGGGTTTAGTTGATCTCTTTTTTTTTTTTTTCAAACTGATCGATTGCCTAAATGAAATCTCGTTTGTTTACGTTTTGAAAATTCGACTTCGATAAACATCAATAGGGGCGAAGGGGGCGATAGCCCGCCAACTGAAACTGGGGGAGCGGGGAAATTACATTTAGCCCTCCTCCTCCCCCCTCCCCTTCATTTCTTAAACCAGTTTTAAATAAACTTTTATGAATTATTATTTTCTAGTCTGTAATGAGTCAATCACAATTAAACATCACCATGCACCGCTCCCAGATAGGGGCGTTTAGGTTGAAGCTTCACCTTACCTGGATCACCTTACCTGGATCACCTTACCTGGATCACCTTACCTGGATCAAAGCTTCACCTTACCTGGATTTTTTTTTCACAGAATCATCAGGTGAATTTAGTAGATTAATGCTAAATAATTGAGAATTTGATGATTTTTTTAGTTTTTAATTGTGATAATATTTTTACCGTCATAACATTTTTGTTTTTGGTGCTACAGATAGCTTAAATAGACCCTATGGAGCGGAAGTAATCTTACAATTTAAAATTATAATGATAGTGTATAAATGTAGCGCTGGCGGCACAGGCAGAGCTTAGTGGGATGCAGCCCCCTCACTTTTGAAATGTAGAGGGCGTTGGTATTACAGCTCAACCCCCTGCCCATCAACCTTTAAGTTTGTTATTTCAAAACGTTTAATCTTGATAGTAGCAAATGACGCCAAATTAACGAAAAGCCACTACAAAATTAATATTATTTTTAAATAATAACAATGATATGTTGACAGTTGTGTTATCATTTAACATCACTTTACCCTATAGGGTTAAGAAAGTATTGAAACGATTAAAAATAGTTTTAAAAAATTTGAAAAAAATTTTTAGCACCGTTCCCCTTATTGTTTCTCATCTTATTTAATGACCTTAGAACTTTTTGACAATTAGGTCCATCTATTTCTCTACCATTGAAGCCATGCTGAGTAACAGTTTTTTCTTCTATTAACTTAGTTTAAGTCTTATTTGAAAATAGTACTCTTGACACCTGTGTGACAATATGCTCATAGAGATGCAACTCTAGTGGAGGTATAATATCCATTACCAGGCTGTACGGGTTCATATCAAAAAGACATGGGTTGATGACATTAAATAAGTTTTGCATCAACTTGTGTGGTTTTCCTGCATCAACAAATCGCTGATACTGATTGAATAAACTACTAAAGGTTCTAAATTCTCCTAATTTGTCTTTTGCACCAATACAAAAAGCACATGCATATTTCCCACAATGAGCAGATAATCCTAGCATGATATTGATAAGCTTAAGATCTGATGCATGGAAGTACTTCCATTTATGCAGTTTGAGAAGGCGGACCTTAAGTCAACATACTTTTAATAACACATTCAGCGAGATTGTGTATTTTTGATATTAAATACTGTGTCTAATCTTTTTTGGAGATATAATCTCTCCAAGGCGTACATGTAATAATGTTCCACATGTTGATAGTTTAACCTTACCCTGTTTTTCATCCCCAATAATTGTTTTTAGAATTTTTGATGTTATCTATTCAGACAATTTAAGATCTTTTGACATAATAGTTTTTTTCTAAGTTTTTAGCATTTGATTTTCTATTGCAGGGGGGTCTAATACCTTTTCCTATATATTGAAAACAATCTCCACACATTGAGATATCAGTATAAGAACTTGAATTTGGACTACTTTTTGTTAAGATGGGGTCAATGACCTCCTTTAAGTTCATTTCTATGTTACTACTAAAGTCCTTTGCCAAACTACAGATTTGACATAATTCAGACACCACTTGTTTTCTGCCAAGCATTAAAATAAAAAATAGAGACATTTCCTCTTCGCCATCAGATTTCTGCACTTTTAACATTTTTTCCTTTCTGTAAAAAAAATTTATATATCTTGCATTTAAGAAACTACAACTATTTTTACAAAAAGTCACAGATTTAAAATGAAAAAAAAAACAGAAAAAGATAAATACATTTTTCTTATATATTTCAGTCTTGCACTTCGGACACATTCCAGTAGGAAAGGAGTTCACTTATACATCAAACCTTTATCTATATGCTTCCTTACTAGATTTTTTTAAACAATTTGAGCTGGATTTTATAGGAGTATACATTGTTTTTTCTAGTTGCAACATCCAAAACAAATTATACCTTTGCTCTCCTGATGATTTCTTTTCCGATTCATTTACTTTTTTTCAAATTTAATTTTTTCCTGCTAAAATACATGAAATACTTTACACACAGATTTTAAATTTTAAATATATGAGTTTACATATATGTAAATATATATAACATATTTAATTCTAAAGAATGTATTCTCGCTATATTTTGAAATTTATTAGACTATCTGCCATAGACAACAAAGTTTCGGTACATAATTAGTTAACAATAAAAAAAAATGTAATAAAAAAATGTTGTTTATATCTTTCTGATGTTTCTGCCAAAAAAAATCCCAGGTACCTTTACTTCCAACCTAAACCCTCAATCTGGGAGCAGTGCATGGAAAAGTATATCCATAAAACTGTTTAAGATACTATCGCATACTAACTATTTTTTAAATTAATATGTGCTGGAAAAAGATGACTAACCACATTGAAGAGATGATTGATCACGTTGCGTGTGATAAATATATAAATAATTTTTATATATTTAAAATATATAGATAACTTTTATTTATTTTACTGTATCATAAGAAATTGATAAACTTTTTCCTTTTTAACATATGTTTTCAACAACAGCCCCCCCCCCCCCAAACTTTCACGACCTTCCTACGCCACCGATTACCATTTCCAGTTTTGTTTAATTTAATAATTTTTTAGGATAGACGGCAACACAAAATAACAATTATCAATTTAACGTATACGTATTTGGAACATAAAATAAAATCTACATTTTATTTCGCACATTAACAATTAGTAAATAAAAGGTAGAGTAAAACACCCATCTTTTTATACACGGCAGTTTCAAATTGAACTTTATTCTGAGCATGCGTAGTGAACAGTTGCAAAACATCAGAAATTCGATGATTTTTTGTATAATTATTTTCTTAAGCTCAGCTACTCTAACTTGAATTTTTTTATGTTTAATATTTCAAACTTTTTGTAAAACGTAGCGATTTGCTTTAGAGTTGGCAGATACATCTTTATATTATAAATTTTGTTGTTGAAATTATGTTTTTTAACGAAAACTTTTAAATCAAAAGGTGATATTTTTTTCTTGAAATGTTCTGTTTTTTAATCAGCTATATTACAATAAAACGAATTTTCTGTAGCTGAAACTAAGTTGTTTTGTTTTCTTCATTTTATTGATCTCTTTTTAAAGTTGATTCTAGAGACCGGTAATTTTTTTTAAAGGCACATTTTTTATTTATCTGACGTAACTGCTTTATTTAGAAATCTTTTAAACATGGACCATGCAACCAAATTAAATCTAATTTGTAGAATATGCAGAGAAGATATAATAAAAGATCCAGTTGATATAAATAAATATTCCGAAAGAATCGAAAATTCCTATTATATAAACACCAGCATTGATAATAAGAAAATTCACCCACAAAAGATGTGTAATAGATGCTATACCAATTTAAGGAACATTGAAAAAGGTTCAAGTTCTAGTATTAAACCAGTTGATTGGCCTTTACCATGTGCAGGCAATTGTTCTTGTTTCCCCAAAGTTGTTGGAAGAAAAGTTAAAAAATGTAAACCTGGTCGACCATGTGTCATGGAACAAAATCAGAAGAGATGGACTAGGCCAATTATAAATAACTTAATTAGTACTATACCAAAACCAACATTGCGTTTAAATGTAATTGATATTGATCCTGTATCAAATCCCCACTTAAACTTGTGCATATGCAAGTTATGCAACAATATTATGTATAAGCCACTAATATTAAAAGAGTGTCAACACTCATTTTGCTCAGTGTGTTTATTCAAAGAGATTGAAGGAAAGTTGGAAACAGAAGCTAAATGCTTTATTTGTGGACAAACTATTTCTTTAAATTCAGTTTTGAATTCTGTTAATTTAACACAAATGATAGAGCACATTCTTTTAGGTTGCAATAAGAAATGCAAATTAAATTATGCAGTTAAAGACAATGAGCTTAAAAAACTACATGAAGAAAATTGTATGGGTGAAAAATTATTGCAGACTTTTCGCAAAGAAACTCCAAGTGGACTTGATACAACTCTTTCTGATATATTTTTATTAAAAGGAAATGATGTTATTCCACGGATTGTAGAAGATGCTGCATTGCATGTTATAAAGCAAAAGCAAATTAACTCTGAATCAAACTTTTTTTCTTTTCCTTCTGGAGGACCAAGAGTAAACACATTTTAAATGTATATAAAACTTTGTTGTAGTTTTTGTTGTAATTGTTAAAATGTAATTTAATTTCAATCCTTTCTAGCCTTTGCAATTTACTTCCAACTCAATGGCATATAAAGACAGCTCAGATGTTAGTAAGAGGACAATTAGGAAAAGACATTTAGCTGTTATAAACTCTTTAAATGTGGTTCCTGGTTTGGCCAGCACCTCACAACTTCAACAAACCTCTGCTATTTTAAATTCATTTGGAGAAAAAGATCAAATTAAAATATTGAAAATGTCGAACATTCCTTCATCAGTAATAAGTGCAGAAGAAATGGTAAGTATGAAAGCTCATATGGGAATCACCTATTCAAACATGAAGATAATTGCAAGGTAAAACATTTTAAATTGAACCACATGAAACAAAAATGAAAGTGCAAATAAATAAAAAAGTTTTTGAATTCAAAATGTTCAAAATTTTATTTTAGATGGCTTAAAACAAATAATATTAAATGTGCATCAAACAAAAAGCAACGCAAAGTAGCTAAATCTTGGCCTGGAGAAGATTGGGTAAAAAATGCTCCTTGGGGATACATTAAAGATTTTCCATCTCATATAATAAACAAACTGAACCTGCTAAAAAAGTAAATATTATACTATGTATACACATATATATATATATATATATATATATATATATATATATATATATATATATATATATATATATATATATATATGTATATATAAATATATATATATATATATATATATATATATATATATATATATATATATATATATATATATATATATATTAGCCCTCAGAATTAGGCCAGCCTAAAAGTATCTGAGGTTGGTAATTTTGGACGAGCTTGATTTTGTCTTCTATAGTGAAGCCTTTGTGAAAAAAGGCTTTAGGTCAAAACTAGGTGTTGAACTGATGCTGACCTAAAGGTCGGCAATTTATAGACGACTTTAGTTTTCCTAATAATGAGGGTTGATATATATTTCTATATACCTTTCCTAATATTGCATGGCTTTTGTGACATGTTTTTTAGCCTAAAACCTGCTGTCATACACACACACACACACACACACACACACACACACACACACACACACACACATATATATATATATATATATATATATATATATATATATATATATATATATATATATATATATATATATGTTACCATTATTAATGTTGTTGTTTAATAAAATTAAGTTATTTACTTTTTAAAATAAATTTGAATTATTTTAAAATTAAATAGCAAAAATTTGCTACAGCATTCCAATATAAAAAATGATGAAATTCACATTAAAATTGGTAGTGATTATGGTGGTGGATCCTTTAAGATGTGTTATCAAATCGTGAATGTTGATAAGCCGAATGCCAAGAGAAACACAAGTGTTTTTAGTATTTTTGAAGCGAAAGAGTACAAACCCAACCTTGTTGTGGGTCTCTCAAGGTTTACACCACAAATTAATCAATTGCAGTCACTGTGTTGGAAGAAATTTTTATTTTGTCATATTGTTATTATATGATAATAAATAACAGAAAACTCTATTTTGAAAAAAAAAATTTTTAGTGAGAAAAAAATAAGAGTATTTATCTTTGGCGATTACGAATTTTTATGTTCAGCATATGGAATCACTGGTGCAAATGGTATAAAACAAAATTATAAAGTTTTGCAAAACAACATTTTTTAAGTTGTATTTTTTATATTTTTAAATTGTATAATTTTATATTCAGTTTTTTTTATGACTTTTTAAATTGTATATTTAAAATGATATTATTACATTAGGTCGACATGCTTGCTTGTTTTGTCATATAACTCGTGAAGAGATGAAAATGAATCCTTCTCAACAAAAGCACAGTTGCTCCAAGCGTACTCTGGAAACACTTCATGCAGATTTCCAAAATTTTATTCAAAAAGGTCGAATACCAAAATTAGCAAAGACTTGTAACAATGTCATTGATTTGCCACTTTTCAATATTCCATTAACACAAGTATTAAACTTTTCTAATATATTAGATTTTTACTTATTTATATCATTTTTAATATTTTTTTTATTGATTTAACGAATTTAGGTAAGCATTCCATCATTACATATCTCATTGGGAATTTATCTTAAATTTTTTAATATGCTTGAAGATGGCTGTCATCTCTTAGATGTAAAAATTGCAGCAAAAATGTGTATGACAAATCAAACTGTAAACAACAGAAATTTTGATGAGTATATTGCACTTCAATTAAAAATATATGAAGGAGAAAAAGTTATTAATGAATATTGTGAAAAAATAACTCTAATTCATGAAGCAATGGCAATACATGTTCTACGTTCTCCTGAAAATAAAGAAATTATTTATGAAATATTTCAGCCCAGAGTAGCCCATTATATGGAGAAGAAAAATGCTAAGGTATAATGAGGTAATATTCAAAAAAAATGAAATAAAATTTATTATACTTCTTTTTATGAAGCATTAATCAATTTAAGAGCTTCTGTCTGTGTGTGTTTTGTATATAATTTTTATATATAGCTGATTGAATTAGAAGAGTTAAGATCTAAAACATTTGAAAAATCACATGGACCACTTGTGAAAAAACTTGATGAAGTTCTATGCGGTCTTCATGTTCAAAGACATGAAGACCGCATAGACATCTTCATGTTCAAAGACAATCATGTTCATAAAATGTTGAAGGTTTTTCTATACTTATATTTGCATATTTTTCTCAAAAATATCTTCTCAAATACATAAGTTCATAAATACATAGAGGTTATTAAACATTAATTTTGTAAATGTGTTCTAAAATTTATTCTTTATTCATTAGCTAAACAGTATTCTAGATCTTTGTAATTCAATATCTAAAATAGTAAGTGATCTTGGATTTATTGGTACAGATGTTCATAACGAGGCGAAGGTCTTGAGTAAGAAATTTGTTGCTTTGTTCTCCAAATACTCGACATGCTACAACTTTATGAATTCAAGTGAAATAATTAACAAGAATCCAATATCAGAATTAGGTGAGATTATATTTTTTAAATTATTTTTTATTATGAAAGTTACTCGCATTGAAATTATTTTTGCAATGGTGTTCATAATTATTTCTTTGTTTTTTAATTTTTTATAGAAAGAGCCATTGATAAATTAATGAGTTACTTTCGTAAAACATGGCCCAATGAGTCCATTACTCCAAAAATGCATTTGTTAGAAAGTCATTGTGTTGATTTTATTAGAAATTGGAATTCGGGTCTTGATATTTATGGAGAGCAAGGTTTAGAAAGCATGCATGCCGAATTCAACAGTATGAACAGCACATTTTGTCATATGAAAGGAAAGCAAAGACTGAGAAGTATTTTGTCCAATCACTATATCAAAAACTCTCCAGAAGCTTTAATAATTAGACCAACTATTAAAAAAAGAAAGCCTTATAAAAGAAAAGCTTGAAACGTGAAACTTTATAGATGAATTTTAAAATCAAAAAATGTATATTATATAACGATTTAATTTTTAAGTGTGTGTGTGTGTGTGTGTGTGTGTGTGTGTGTTTTCCAATACAATAATTCCTAACGTTTTCTTTAACATCTGGTAATTTTATTTAGTAAAATGGAAATTTTATTAAAAAAGCGGATATTTTTTCAGCGATAATAGTTCATAAATTACAAAGAAAAAAAAATTACCGGTTTCTCAAAATTGGACATATTCTTTATATACCTAAACTTTAACTCTTAAACATTTCAGGTTTTCACGAAAAATTTATTAAAGTACTTATTTATCAAGAATAATTAGACTTCCATAAAGTTTGTAACTAAAAAAATTGCAATGTTCTTGAACTTATAAAAAGTGAGTAAACACTTTTTTTTATATGTATGTATCTTTTAAAACTAGTTCAACTAATAATTTATTAAAATAAAAAAAAATCTAAAAACTTATTTTTATTAAAAGGTATAATAAATTTAGTTATTAAATCTGTGCTTTTTAATTTTTTTTTTTGCGTTTTGCTCGCTTTATTGAAAACTTAAAGATAAAAATATTTGTTAATGCGCATGCCCAGAATAAAGTTCCATTACGAAACTGCCGTGTATAGCTGTCAAAAATTTGACGATACTAGCTTTAAAAAAAATGGCACAGGATTTATTGCAAAAAAAAACTTTGCCTTAAAATCCTTAATACTAAATGACAAGTTTTAGATATACTTTTGGATAATCACTCAAAAAACATATTATTTATAATTTAATTGCTTTTTTTTTTTCTCAGGATGTTATTAGGACGCAGGAATACCTTATAAACATAGAATGTCGATGAAAATAATATGGCGGGTGTAAGATGGTGGGTGGCCACTGTAAGAAAAATTGGTATTTTTTTGCTAGTAATCGACACCAAAAAAATTCAAAAATTTTTTTTTCCTGATAAAAAATGAACACTGGCACACTTGTCAAAATGGGTATGGCTTAAATTTAATTAAAAATAGCCGCGTAATAAGCAGTCAATATTTTTCAGTTTTCGCAAAACTCACATTCTAATACTTTACGAACACTTACTGTCTTTACTTACTGTCTTTTACTTTTACCCAGGGCCGCCGAGAGGGGGAGGGGGGTTCTACCGGGACAGTTTAACCCGGGCGGTAGATATCTAAGAAGCGCCAAATAAAATTACCTAAAAAAAAAAAAGGTCCTTCATATATAATATAGGGAAAATTTGATAAATAAGGACGCCAATAAGGGCGTCCTTATTTATCAAATAACAACATTCGCAAAATACTTTGCAAATGTTGTTATTGGAATATTACATCAAGTGAAAAAATTTCCTAACAAATTTTTTATTGGACTCAGCTGCGCTTGAGAAAACTAATTATAGCACCATTGCAAGGCTTTCAATGAATCTGTGAAAATTCTCGGTTGGAATTTTGACAAAGACGCTATTTTACTGTTTATTTCATAGGGTGTACCATATATGGTAAATGCAGGTTGATCAATAAAAAAAATTTACCCCAAAATAATACTCTAAACTTAAGCGTGAGTTTTTTTACGTGTGTAAAATTCTAATAAACATTTTTATAAATAGAAGAGCATTTAAAAATTGTCTAAACTCAATAACTCATTATAATAATGATGGAGATGGAAAAAAATCTGTTTTCGGATTGACAGGACGAAGGACAGTTCCAAAACTGGTAATAAATGAGGCTATTGACGGGCGATGGAGTTTGTGACAAATCAAAATAAAAGTTAGAATTTAGTCGGTGCGTTGGTAGTATCCAAAAAATGGCTAAATTCCTATTTTTGAATTATTAAATTGTTTGACTTCAATTTAACCTTGAAGTCTTCTTGAAGTTAAAATATTTGTTGGCACAAATAATGGATATTCCCTAATAAAAAAAATACTAAATTTTTAATTTAACAAAAAAGATTGTGATAAAAATATATATATATTAAAATTTTTTTAATATATATATTTTTAAACTTATATTTTCTGGTAAAATTTATTAAAACATACATTACAGATTCAACGTAATTAAAGATTTTTATGTTTATAATAATAATAATATTTATAATAAAAAAAATAAATAAAATAATACTAACAGTTCAGCAACATAGAAATTATGAAGTTATTCACGTTAAGTATTTGTTTAGTTTAAGAAAGCAAACTTGAAAACTTCGGTTTTTATTCTTTTTTTTATTTAAAAGTTTCTAGCAATGTTAAGCCACATTTATTTTTACTAAGATTGTTGCAAGACCTTAGTGCAGTTAATTGTTGCAAGACCTCAGTGCAGTTATGCAGAATAATTTTTGTGACCATGTTCTTGTTCGACAGTATCCAAATTGTTAACTGTTTGACATGTTCTTCTATTTAAGTTATTATTTGTGCGCGTTAAATTTGCGACACTGCCACAAACATGCGCACGCTGTACACGCGTTAAAAAATAAACTGATAAGGTTCCTTCATTTTTTTATTTAAACTGATAAGGTTCCTTCATTTTTTTTTTTGATTAATTCCTACATGTACAAAGGTTACTGCTGTTTTGTTATTGATTTTTTAAAAAGAAAAACATTAAAGGTTTTTCTTTGCGTTTATCAAAAAAAGATTAACTTTAATTAGCTTTCTCAAAATACTTTTTTTTTTTTTTTTTGTATATGGATGTACATTGATTATGATAGCGACACAGATATTTTCAACATTAAATGTTGATGCATAAAAAAAAGATGCATGCAACTTATTAAGACCATCTAATAAATAGGTAAGTTATTCTCTCGAAGATAAAAATTTAAACAAAAAGCTTATGTTTACTTTTATACATTTTTATGCGTTTTTATTTACAAAATATAAAAATAACGAAACGAAAGTAAAAATATGGTGTAAAGTTTACAACATCATATCTTCAAATGCAGAAAAGTTTAATTGAATAATTTTTGGGGTATTGGATTAGAATAGATCATAGAATAGATAGAATATTTTTTACATGTTAAGAGCCGTTGTCTGTAAGAATTAGAATATTGCAAATACCAATTTGTCATTAATTCCTTTTTTTTTTAACTTTTTTAAATACATATTTGTTTCTTATAATAAATGCAATGACAAACAAAAAATATTTCGTTTTAACAACAAATTGAATGAATTTGGGCCATTTTTTGTTTATTTTGCAATAAGTTATACTTTATAAAGCAATAACCAGAGTATTAACCATTTCGATAAGGTTTTTATTTGTAAGATCCCTATAAACGCCAAATAAACTGTCCAGCGTCCCTGCTACCAACGGTCAGTAATTAGTAAAAATAACTGAAAGTTGTTAAGATACTTCTTAAAAAAATCCATTTATTTATTAGATTTTGAGATTTTCAAAAATGGTGTGCGCCGCACAAAATCGGGTGCGTACACCTTTAATACTGCAAGAAATAATTGAGGGGGTAAAGACGTGTCTCCTATAATGGAGCTAAACACGGTTAGCCTTAACTAACTTAAATAAAACTTTAAACGTTTGTTGGAAACATTTATAAACTTATAATTAAAATGAAACCTTTTAAAAAGATATTTAAATTTTGATTCGAAATAAAGCGGCTAATTCAGTACTTATTTAGCTATCCAAGTTGTTCCTTCTTTGGGAAATAGCTGAATGAATTGCTAGATATTATTAATATCCAGCTTATTTTAATTGATTGTTTTAGTAAAATCCAGATTATTTTAGTAAAATAATCGTATTATATCCAAAAAATATATTTTATTATATTTTTTACAGCATTAAACTCACTGTTTAAAGTTGCTAGGAAAGAAAAGAGAAATTTGACGAGAAAAAAAAAAAACTGTTTAGAGATGATTTAAAAAGGTATAAATTATATAATTAAGTCAGAAAACATGAAGATTTCTAAGCTTTAATGTTTTAACATTATTATATATTATGTTCAAGCTTGTCTTATTGAGCAGCTTTACCAATTTTAGCAATTTTTTTTGCCTATGATATTTAATGTAAAAGACAAAATCCAGTTGGCAACTTTCTGGATTCAGTTTTGAGAATGATATAGTTTTTGATTAAATAACCATTAAAACTGACTTTGCTGTCTGACAACTTTAATGCATTTATTGTATTCAATTGTTAAATTGTAAATTTTTTTTTAATATAAGTTTATTAATACATAGATAATTTTTGTTTATGATTAAGAGAAAGATGTAAAGACTTTGTTTTTAAAGATTTTTTAGTATTTATATATAACTAATATATCTATAACCTTGTTAACTAATATTATTAATTAAATAATATGAAATCTTTTTATGTTTATAGAAAACAAACCTACCACTCACTAATAAGCCCCACTTTAATGTTTATAAAAAATTACAATAGTAGTTTATGTTTTTTTGAATTGGCAATGCAAAACCTTTTACACTTTACTTTCCACGCAAAAAATCTAGTTAATATTTAATAGAAGTTACTTGTTTTAATAAAAACCTTTTTAAATTGTTTTAATACAATTGATATTGATTATAATAGTTTACTTTATAGAAAGATAATATATAACATAATTATATATCAAAGAATAATTATTATGTAATTATATTACAGGATAAAATAATGTAAAAATGAGTGCTCACTACAATGACAATCAAATGAATTTTTATGATTCTGGTTACAATCAAGATTATAGTCAGCAAAATAATCAACAATATGCATATGGAAACCCTGGCTATGACTCTTATATTCCAAATAATTATTCACCTCAAATGATGCCACAATATAGTTATAATCAAATGCAACCTCAATCACATTCCACAGGTGATAGTGCAAGTTTTGAAGATGAGCCTCCTTTGCTTGAAGGTAAAATATTCAGGTTTTAAATTAATTTTTTTTTTTTTTAGTTTCAACAACTATAAACTTTTTTATGTTTTTTTTTTTATGAAGTCTTTATAAGTAAAGTGTCTATTTAATGTTTTTACTTTGTGCAGCACATGTGGCACAGTGGTTAGAGATCTGGCTTAAAACCAAGAGGTCAGAGGTTTGATGCTACCTCTAGTCCAATAAGCGACATTGGTAAGGAAGGAGGCATATACTTCCTAGTTAATTCCCTTTTCACATTGCTCTGTGATAAGATTGTTAAAACCTCTGGGAGCACCTTAAACACCACATAGAAAATCAATATATTTAATTGTTCTAATAATTTAAAAAAAATCTTTTTAAAATTTTTTTCTCATTTCTTAGGAAAAATAAAGTAAGGAAATTATATTTGTACAGTAACAACATAAATCTGCTAAAAGTAAGTGTATTTAAGGAGGTTACGTTTTTTTTCCTTGATTGTTATTATATTTCTTTCTTGATTCTATGACACTAAAACATAAATCTTGAAGTACAAGAATGTTATGTGCAAAAACATATTGGCTGCAGTACTTCCAGGAGCATATTAAGTTCCAGGGACATTAAATATCTAGTTTTCATCGAAATTCAAATTACCTAATGTGTCTTTTTTCTGGTTTCACCAACATAAAAGTGCCACATGTAAATACGCTATCAAAGAAAGTTAAATATACATAAAAATAATTATGTGTTAGCATCGTTTTTGCATGCGTTAACAAAAGGGGGCAAAATTTTACTTAAAATGAATGCATTAGCAATTACTTTAAAAGAAACCATGCTTAAACATGATTGCTTTTTTCTATAGCGTGATTTTTTTTTTTTAGTTTTTTTTTAGTTTTTTAGTTAAGTGAAGTAATGTTTATTTGCATATTAAAAACAGTTTTAAAAGTTTTAAAAAGAACTTTTATGTTTTGATAAAATATATGTAATCTGATAGAATATATAGAATTGTTTATTATAGTTTTCATTTTTTATTGTGCATTTAACAACACCAATAATATGATATATTTATTAATTTATTATTAAATACTTAATATGATATTGTTTTTAAAAGTTTAAAAAAAAAAAGGCAAAACAACTTATTTTATTTTTAGCTTCTTTTTTTTAATTTTTTCAAGTTTATATGTTTTTTTATTTTAAATAAATTAGCTAACTTATTTGAAATTCATTATTTAGTATCAATGGATAACTGTTTACAATTATCAGGCGTGCGATCGCACGCCTCTTACAAAATTCTTTGTTTTAACAACTTGACCATGGCTCTTTGCAAGTTTTGATAATTAGCGCATTTAAAAAATGCGTTGAAAATTAAATAAATGCGATTTTTAAATTAATTGATTACTTTAATGCAACTTAATTAAAAGCAATCATTGAAAAAAATTTTTAGATTAGAGTTTAAGGCAAAATGAGTACAGAAGCTATCAAAAAATAATTACAAACCATTTTATCATGGAAATATAATTTCTAATTAAGAAGTTATTTACTCAAAAAAAAAGGAATTACAATATTCTTGAAACAATTGCATCTAACAACTATTTTTTATCCCAAGGCGCGACATATACTTTTTTTTAATGAACGTTGACTTGCGTATCTTTATTTATTAAGGAACGTTTAATTTAAGAGATTTATATCAAATAAAATTCAAGTAATTTTTATTCTAGTTAATAAGTTATTAAATATATCAAAGATGCTTGGTAAATTTATTTAATTTTTATTTTTCAAAAACCTTTTTTTTACACATTTGCAAAGTGTACACAAATTAAAGATAAATGCACAATAAAAAAACTTTTAAAAGTGCAAAAGTTTTAATATGCAAACAAACATTATTTCACTTTATGGAAAATAAGAAAGTTATAAAAAAAGTTAAATTTTATTTTTAATGAATACATTTGCTTTAAACTTTTAATGTTTATTGCTAAAAACATAAAAGAAACCATAGTTAAACGTTACGATCACTTTTCTCAATAAAAGAAAGCAATCGAAATGTTTGAGCATGGTTTCTTTTGAAGTTTTTGCAAAAGCATTCATTTTAAGTAAAATTATGTATGCTTTTGTGAGCGCATGCAAAAACCATGTTAAAACATAATTACTTTTTCTATAGCGTATTTAGTTATTTTACTTTAAAGCGACGCTATAGAAAAAAGTACATTTTGGCATTAATTTAAGTCTGTGAAATTAATTGCTTCATATTAAATATGTGTTTTTATAATAAATTAAAAACTAATAATCGCAAAGTTATTTTGAAAAAAATTGCTGAAGTAATACGTTCGTTTTGATAAACCCTAATCAAACGGCAACGTTTGCATAAGCAAAATTAAAGAAATGTGATGTTTGTTTTTCTGTCTGTCTTTTAAGAAATGTGTGCAAGTTTGTCGATTTGTCACACCCTGTATCCTAATAATTTTTTAATAAAATTTTAAACTTGCACCACAAAATTTTATTAAATTTTATGGCATTTTTAAACAGCCTAATTTATGAAATCTGAGGAGAGGGGGGGGACCCTTTCCCTCACAATGAATTTGCCCTTGTATTAGCCAAATTATTTATTTATTTTTTTTTTCGGTTATTTTTGTATTATATATTATTTTAAGGATTTTATTCTCTTTTCAGTTTATGGTTGTTTATTTTAATTTTAATTTGCTTTATTTTTTTTAGCGCATTTTTTAAATGCGCTAATTATCAAAACTTGCAAAGAGCCGTGGTCAAGTTGTTAAAACAAAGAACTTTATGCGTGATCGTTAAAACAAAGAACTTTATGCGTGGTCTTAAGGCGTGCGATTGCAGGCCTCTTACGAGAAGGCCTGATTGTTGCATATTAATTATCATTAATTAAGAATCATTGCTTATTATCATTAGTTTGCGCATACTTTGAAAATGTGTAAAAAGTTCTTTTTAAAAAATAAAAATTGATTAAATTCAATAAGCATCTTTGATATATCTAATAACATATTAGCTAGAATAAAAATTATTTGAAAATAAAACTTCCTTAACGATTTTTATCTTTTAAATTAGACGTTCGTCATTAAATAAAGATATAAAAATCAACATAAATTAAAAAAGCGATTTGTCACACCTTGATGAGAGATTAAGTGTTTGTTAATTAGAAACTCAAAAACCTTATTTATGATAGTAAGAAGACTAATGGGTATAGAGGACAGCTCTAGAAAACAGTTCTGCAAGAAGATAACAGGTATGTTGTCTGGGCCACGAGCTATTGAAGAGTCTAAGCAGAAATCACTCTAGATACAAAAGCTAGAGTGATACAAAGGTTAGGCAATAAATTAACCTATTTGTCAGCTATAATTATATAATTGTCAGGTAGAACACGACTTGTGGAATCAAGAGCTGAATATATACAGTATACAGAATAATACAGGTTCTGAGTAGAGCTGTATCCTCAATAGGAGATAATAGCATGGGTTACCTAGTCGAAAAAAAGAGACACAAACAAAACCCATGCATTGAGTCAAGAAGATCCAGCATTCAACATCCTAAACTGGAAACAATATATTATAAATGCATCTATGCCACCTTAATAGATGAAAAAGGGGTGTGAGGCTGGTCAACAGATAAACTCTGTTTACCCCTAAAGTCTTTGTCTAGGAGGCTTTCTACAAGACAGTAGTTGAATGTATTGAAAGTCTGCCCAAGATAAGTATTTTTATAGAAACGCGATCTCTAGCCTTTACTCAACCAAGAGCCCCATGGCAGGGGGTGTTTTAAGTTGCTGTTTAAGAGTTGGCTTTTCCTAAAAAATCCTGTATCCTACAAGGCAGCAGGATATAAAGCAAGTTATACTGTTTCCAGTAGCAGGATAACCTCACCTGACTGCAATTTTGGAATCTTTTGGAGTGAATATGGTAGGGAGTTCACAGTTGGTAATACAATTGATAATGGAGATTATATAAGATGTGAAGAGTATCTTAAAAACTTTTTAAAAAGCTTTTGAATTTAGTAACACAGGTTATTTCTGTAATGTTGAATTTGCAGGTTGTGCTGTATTTCCAGGGTTCATTTTATTCAAGGTTAAAAAATGATTAAAATTTCCTGTCCTTAACTGCTGCTCTAACAAGGTAATTTCAACTGTAAAGCTAGAATAAAGTTGTTTATTTTTTCAATTAATTGATCTTTTTCTTGGAGTTCTTTGTTAAGCATATTGTAATGTTGAATCAGATTTATTAGAAATGCAAAATTTTCAACGATCTCCTTTTTTTCTAGCTTTGGTAGATTATCTTTTTTTATGCTTTTGAAAAATTCTTTCAACTTTTGTCTCAGTTTTTTTTGAGAATATTGCCTCTAGAAAACTTGTTTAAGTGTAAAAAAACAGACCACCATATATAGAGTCATTTCATCAAGAAATGACTCAAATTGTTTTTGAGGCATCTGAAATTTCAGTTTTAACTACTGAAGACATGATATTTTTCACACCCATAGTCTTTGCTGTTAAATTTTGCTGATGAATGATAAAATGTAACTTAATTGATGACAAGTTGTTTTTTGACATTTTGTTTTCTTAAAAATATCAAAAATTACCATTGTTATGCCTTGCATAAGATAGTCTAATAGTTATTCAATCAAATAAAAAAAAAAAAATTATCAATACCACAAATAAAAATAGCCACTTAGGCAGTTTGTTATAAATTAGTTGATTCATCAATAACAGACTCATTACATATTTAATATAGTAGCATCTATTAAGTTCGCCGAAAAAATGTTTTTTCAAAGTTAAATACACAACATTCGCTGATAATTTTTTGTTGTTTTGGAGATGTCATTTTGGCTAAATTTTAGAAATTAAAAGATTTTTTGAAGACAAAAACCAAAATAGTTGTTGTAAATATTTTATATAAAAAGTTTTTATATTTTTAAAGATCTGATTCTAATAGATAACACCTCTTAATTACATGTTTTATAACTTTGTATTATTTTGAAATATTCAAAAACATATTTTTAGAACTTGGCATTAATTTCGATCATATTGGATTAAAGGTTTAAAGTTTTTAATTTTATTTTTATCTAGTTGATGACATTTTTATTACTTTTTTATTTTTTTAAATTTAATTAGAGTATTTTTAGAGAATGTTTAAAAAAGATTAATACTTCAAAAATATTGAAAACAATAATACATTTAGATAAAAGTATATTATAAAATATAATTATATTTAGATATTTAAAATATATTATAAAATACAATATGTTTAGATATTTAAAATATATATATTATAAAATATAATTTAATAGATATTATTTGTGATGTTTATAATTTATTTTAAATGTTTTTAGACAAAGTCAGTTTTAAATCCTTTTCAACAACCAGATCCTAATATTATGGATGACACGGATCTCGCTGGACCACTTGTTTTCTGTTTGGCTTTTGGTGCATTTTTGTTATTGGTAAATGCTGTACAGTTAAAAATTTTTTTAAGTATTTTTACTATTTATATTTTTAAAATCTGTAAAACTACGAATATTGTAATATGGGTTTGAGTGGATGGTAATATAGTAATGGTTAATGGTGGTAGATTAATCAGTTTTTTAAATTAATTAGTTAAAGATTACTTTACAAAAAGTTGATCAAATAGTTTCTTTTTTTTTTAAACATCTTTGCTACCAACAAGGCTGCAAGCAACCACTAGTTGGAGTTTGAAGTTACTGGAAGAGAAAAGATGAAGATTGTAGAGCAAGATAACGATTGATAGATGACTTGAAAGATTGCAAATTATATGAATCAGGAAAGCAGGATGAAGGAAGTGAATTCCAATTTCAATTTCATTTTCTTTTTTTTTTTTTTTTTTTCTTTTTTTTTCTTCTAACAAGGCTGCAAGCAAACACTACTAAAATTGGAAGTTACTGGAAGAGAAAAAATAAAATTTATAGATCAAGATAACAATTAACAGATGACTTAAACGTTTGTAGAAAAGAGAAATAGAACCAACATTATGACAATGTGATAATGGTTGAAGGTTGGCTGCAAGAGCATGTCCAACTATGTTTACAATGCGTTTTTGCACCTTGTCTAAAAGAGAAAGGGCATCATTAGAAGATTCGCCCCAGATATGGCAACAGTATTCCATACAAGGCCGGATTTGAGATTTATAGAGATAGAGATTAGAATCTGGAGTAAGAAAGTGTTGAACTTGGTAAAGAGATGCAACTTTAGCAGATGCTACCCCTTAGCAGATGTTTATAGGTTTTAAAACTAAATTTTGATATTTTGAGTTCTTTGACAATGGCAACAGAGCAGGATTCCCGCATGAGCTTTAAGTTTTTTATCTAAAAAAGGTTTTTTCAAAAAAAAAAAATTATGTTACTTTATTCCTAAAATGATCAATAAATAATTTTTTATTCACTTTATCTATGCTCACTTGAAATAAACTTAAATTATATGATTTAAAGTTTTAACTTTAAGCCTTAAAATATTAGTATTTTACATTGTAAAAAGCAAACATTTAACGCCTCAAAAATAATTGAAAAAAATTATTATTATATATAAATTATTTTAACTATTGTAATAAATTAAAGAAACAAAGGGTTCAGTTAAGATCGTGACGGCGAGATGGGAATTCCTGAAATGATTTAGTTAAAGGAAATCATGATTGCTGATTATTAAGTGTTAAAAAAAATTGTTTGTAAAATTGAATAGTTTTTTTAATTAAAATAGTTTATCATTAAAGTTATTTAGTTTTAAATTTAATTAAAACTAAATAACTAAAACCGACCACCAGATTTTTTTTCAACGTAGCAACCGAGTTTATTAAGGTTTTTATTAAGTGTTTCGGAGTTTAAGAGTTGAGTGAGGGTTGTAACAACAATAAAGTTGCCTCCTTGTCTGTCGTGGTCTTCTAAGCCATGGAGAGGTGAATAAAAAAAAAAAAATTTTAAATAATAATTACTTTTTAACCATAGAATTGTTATTTTTTATGCATTCAAAATAATTTCAAAATGATATATAGTTAAAATTCAAAATAATTAAAAAAATTTACCTTATCTAAAAAGTTTACTATTAAATATATCTTTAAGAAAAAAAAAAATCTATTATATCAAGTTATTTAAAAAAAATATCTTTGAATAGATAACGATATATTTCACCGAACAATAGAAATTGCCGTTAGACTAATAAAAGTTTTCTTTTTTGTTCTTCTTTTTTTTCTTCTAACAAGGCTGCAAGCAACCACTACTATAGTTGGAAGTTACTGGAAGATAACAATTAACAGACGACTTAAAAGATTGCAAAATTTGCGGCTTTGCAACTACAAATGATTTTTTATTTAAAAAAATTAGCGATTAACAAATAAAAAAATTACGTTAATTTATTTACTTTATTTATTAAAGTTTATTATTTTATTATTACATTGCTGAATATATTGTTTATTAAAAAATAATTGCTGCAATTTAACTTGCGTTATTAAAAAAAAAGTTTAATTAATAATTTGTGCAAACTTTTGATGCAGCCATTTATTTAAAATTTAATTATGAGTAAAAAAAAAAATGTTTAAGAAGAATAAATCAAAATCGTAAGCACAATAAATATAAGCAGATTTTTTTTAAGAACAAATAAAATTTAAAAATTGAACAATAGATATAATTTACTTATATTTTAAAAGAGATTTGACAGTTAAACCCATGCATTAATTTTTATTTTAATAAACTTAAATATATTTTTGAAATCGAAATTAATTTTTTTTTTATCAGAATAAAATTATATATTTTTATTAAATTAGTTTTAAATTAAATCATAAATTTTCAAAATTAAATTATGTTTTTATGATCTTTGCTTCAAGCTTCAAAAATCAATCATTACAATAAAATAAAAACAAAATAACAATAAACTTTTAATTTCATTTAAGTTTTTTTCATTAGTAAATATTTACTAATGAAAAAAATTATTTAAACTTATTATTTAAAATAAGTTTAAATAATTTTTTTGCTATTTCAATTCATTATTTAAATAGTGCATATATCAAACATAATTATCATTCAAACTTTTTTAACAAATATTTTTACATAAACCTCATTCAAAACTTGTGACTTTTTTTAAAATTAATTCTTTTATCTTATTGCTTATGGTATAATTTAAAAGTTAAAAAATGATAAAAAGTTGCTTAACCAAAATTACTTACTGCTTACATAAAAATCGCTTGAGGCATAAATAAATTGCTCTATGCTTAACGCTTTAAAACAAGACCTGAGGTTGGCTGCAAGATCCAACCATGTTTTCAATGCATTTTTGCACCTTGTCTAAAAGAGAAAGGACATCAATGGAAGATCTGCCCCAGATATAGCAACAGTATTCCAACCAAGGACAAATTTGAGATTTGTAGAGATAAAGAATATAGTCTTGAGTAAGAAAGTGGCAATCACGATAAAAAGATGCAACCTTAGCAGATGCTAATTTTGTAAGCGATTTGAGATATGATTTCCAAGCAAGATCTGAAGAAATAGTTAATCCTAGAAGATGACGAGTAGATGACTCATCGAGTACATAATAACATCGAGTACCTTTCATCAATATAAGAAGACTCGAGCACATTAACGTTTAATAAGAAGATCTAGATTTTTGTGATAACTATTAGCTTTTATTGAGTTTATCTGAGTTAAAGTTCGCCATTCACTGAGAGCCCTGTGCTGTAGCAGAAGTGAGATCCTTTTCATCAAAATTTTAAGTTATCACTAAAAGTGAATGAAAAAGGTGATATCAAAGCATGAAAATTATTTTAAACTACAAGAAAGAAAAAAAGGAACCAGATTTGTGCTTTTGAATGTTTTGTAAGAATGCAAATACCATTTTAAATGTTTTTTATGAACGCAAATACCATTTAAATATCCAGTATAACCTTTCTTATTTTATTTTTTATGAAATATTGTGTTTTTTGTAAAAAAAGTTAAATACTTTCTTGTTAAAGAATTTCTCGTTTTATGAATTATCAGGCAAATTTTTGATTTATATAAAACTTGGTAATAAATATAATATCAATAAAGTATTTATAATGGATTAACTAATGTTCAATTACTTAACATTTTAAAAATTTTGTTTTAGTAATTAGCCATCAGGCGATAAAATTTATCCATTAATTTTTCTGCGTTCTCCTAAAAATTAGACCTCATTTGAAATCTATCATTATTACATTTTTAAACAATAATGTCAATGCTGATAAAAACTAGCTCTTTTTAAAATGCAAAGTAACCCTAATTAATTTACTTTAAGTTACATGTTGCTATAAAACGTAGCATTTGTAAAATTTATAAGGCTTCAAATCAAGAATGTATGGTAAAATCCTGCAAAAATGGGCATTTCTAGATAAATTCCGTAATGGAGTATTTAGAGCCAGCACACTACTGAATGGCAAAATTAGTGATTAACTGTTCTTTTGAATGTATTGAATCATATTATTCATTCTAAGATTATAGTGATATTAGTATGCTAATGTACAACAAGATACACATTCTAGTTGCTAAGAAACACATTCTAGCATTAACTGAAGTGGTTAAGGCCAAGTGATTGAAAACCCTAACTGATTAAGGCCTATTAAAAATTTTTCTCCATTTAATTTTTTTTTTTTTTTTTGCTGAAGCTCTTGAACAACTTTTAACTTTATTGAGTTCTTCTTATCATTTTAAATATTTTTATGATTGGCCAAAGAGATTTGTATCTATTAAACAAGTTATTACCTCTTCAATTGCCACCTCTAGTAATATATTTTTATATAGTATTTTTTTAAAAAAGTTTTTTTTATTAAAAAAGAATCCTGTAACAGCTTTGATAAAATAAATTATTATAAAAATAAATGAAATTATTTTAGTCAGGAAAGGTGCATGGTTTTGGTTATATTTATGGGGTTGGAGTGTTGGGTTCAATTTCAATGTATGCTGTGTTAAACTTGATGAGCATGACTGGCGTTACATTTCAATGCGTAATTAGTGTTCTTGGATATTGTTTGTTACCAATGGTGATTTTATCTGGAGTTTCTGTTATTTTTACATTGACGTAAATATTTTTTTATTTTTCAAATAAACCTATTTTTAAATTACACATTTTTTATATTTTTAATTGTGGCCAGACATTTTAAGTTTAGCCAGACATTTTGTGTATTGTATTTTTTTTTTATGTGTGGCTACTTTTAGGTTTAGCCAAACATTTTGTGTATTGTTTAGTATATTTCCTATCAGGATGATGTACTTAATTAAAAATAAATGTCACAACAGAAATGTTTGAGAGAACTTTTTTTTTTTCAGTTTTGCTTAAATTGATATTAGAGTAATAATAAAACCATGAAAAAAGTTGATAGAGTAGTTTTTTGTATTTATTATATTTATAGAAAAAAAGGGAAAGTAGGAGAGTGCTTAAAAACAGAAAAATACAAATATTAGAAAAATAATGCTTTTGTACTTTTATGACAAGTTATTTCTTTTGTAAACAATAGAGACAAAAGTTTAAAATTGACAAATAAAAATGATCAAGTTGTCTATAGTTTTTTTACTTTTTTACTTTTTTACTTTTAAAGTTAACATTTAAGATACAAAAAGAAGCAAAAAATTAGAAAACAACTATAAAGGTTAAAATTGTAAATAAAAGTACAAAAGTAAATAATAAGAAGTGATAGAAGCACAAAAGCCCAAGCTTTAAGGAATGTGTGTGTGTATATATATATATATATATATATATATATATATATATATATATATATATATATATATATATATATATATATATATATATATATATATATATATATATATATGTATATATATATATGTATATATATATATATATATATATATATATATATATGTATATGTATATATGTGTATATATGTATATATATATGTATATATGTATATGTATATATACATATGTATATATGTATATGTATATATACATATATATATGTATATATGTATATGTATATATACATATGTATATATGTATATGTATATATGTATATATATATATGTGTGTATATATATATATATATATATATATATATATATATATATATATATATATATATATATATATATATATATATATATATATATATATATATATATATATATATATATGGTTAATTCCACGTAAATCAGGATATTATGAGTAAAAAGTTAACTAATAGTTTGGGTCTTTTTTGTTTTCTTTTTCGATTTCTATGGTATTTAACTAATGTTATATAGAATATCGTAATATATTTGCCATGATTAATATATTTTTTAGCTATTACTAAATGTAAGTAACTCTTTTATTTTATATTTTTATTTTTAATGTGACGTGTGTGATTATTTTTTAAAACTTTTTTTATTTATTTTTATATTAAGATGAATTAAGATATAATTTTTTTCTAAAACTAAAGTCAGCATCATATAATTGTAATTATGTTTAAAAAACTTGATTATATGATTTTATTTTTTATTGTATATTATTTTTTTAAGTGGTGACATGCGTGAACTTTTATATAAAAATATGACGTATGTGAAGTACACAATTTTGGAAAATGAATTAGCACTTTCATGTACTACACATTCTGGTGTCTTTTTTAACATTTTCCGTTTTGTTATAGATTCAAGTATATTGTGTTTAAAAATGACACAGATAGTGTTTATAACGGCTCAGGAAAATAATGTTTTTTGATGATGAAATTATGACTTGTCCAATTCAAGTGACGTGCGTGACCATCATTATATGTATAAATTAAATGTTTTACATACTTAAAATTAAGAATTTATGTTTTTATATTGTAAAAGTCATGTTTGGCAACAGATTTATGCATCTCATAGTGCTCTATATTTTTTATTATAAAATTTGAGCTTATATGCATCTGAAAAGTGACGTGCGTGATGTATGGAATTGACCATATATATATATATATATATATATATATATATATATATATATATATATATATATATATATATATATATATATATATATATATATATATATATATATATATATATATATATATATATATATATATATATATATATATATATTATAAGAAAATTATTTTTTCTTATTATAAGAACCTCACACTCAGATTTAAGGCGCTGTAACTCAAATTTTTTTATTGCATTTTTTTTGTCATATGACATAAAATGGAAATTGTCACTTCTAAACATTTAGGAATATATATATATATATATATATATATATATATATATATATATATATATATATATATATATATATATATATATTCCTAAATGTTTAGAAGTGACAATTTCCATTTTATGTCATATGACAAAAAAAATGCAATAAAAAAATTTGAGTTACAGCGCCTTAAATCTGAGTGTGAGGTTCTTATAATAAGAAAAAATAATTTTCTTTCTTCATTAAAAAACCTTGAGGCACGGCTGTTTCACTCAATATAAAAGCGAGCTTGACGCCACAGTTATTTTTGTGTTTATCAAAAAAAAAAGTATTCCACAAAAAAAGTTTAAAAATGCACTAACTTTAAAATAGTAGTGTTTTTTTCCTATAAGCACCTTCATCTTTAAATAAAAAAATATAAAAGACCGATCTTTTTTTTCTAAATAAATATTTACATTAAACGGAATAAAAATATTGTTTAAATATTGCTAACAATTTGGGATCACTTTTCTGTTTTTTGTGGTTTTTACGGAAAACCTGACTTGGGTCAATTAAGATTTCATAACATAGCTACATGCCTCATGGTTGAGATTTGGAACATTTATAAATAAATGTCTATTCTATCTAATTTTTGGTGCGGATTGCTGTTTTTTTATTTTTTAACTATTTTTTAATGCATTTATATTTTTAATTTTATTATTAAATAATGAAAATCGTATTATTTTTGTAATCTGCACCAAGTTATTGAAATTTCAACCCTTTCTGCATATAAAAATTGAAAAATTGTTTGCTGTACCTCTAGCTATGTTATGAAATATGTTATCAAACTTGGCTAGTTTAGAAACAAATTTTTCTACTTTAATGCGCAAAAACATTGTTTACATTTCAAAACAATCACATGACCTTTTTTACTTAAAGAACTTATTAATTGAGAAACTCATTATAAAAAGTTTTTTATGAGAATAAAAACACATTATCAAACAATATAAATTAGCTATTTGAACTATTATTAAATTATGAACCATATTATTAAAACTGTATGCATAGAAAAGAATTGCTTAAGTTTTTTAAAGGCTTCAGCTTAAAATGTTAAGACTAAATATTTCAAAATTGAAATCTGGTTTTATCTTATAATGCATTGAATTTAAAAAATTAGTGAACTATTTTCTAAAACAAGAACTTCTAGATTTAAAAACGTGCTCATCATCAATTAATCCCCCCTTTAACCACATTTTTCATAATTTTGCAAAAAATGCAGTTTGCTTGCAGACATCTATACAAACTGTTTCAATTTACCATTAACAATTAAGTAAGATTTTTTTATTTTAATAATAGTTAAATAATGAGTGTATTTGATAATAACTATCAGAAATATATTTTTCTGATTTTTTTTTGGATAAAAAGTAACAACAAATTATTAAAATTTAACCAAGTTTATCATTTGTCGCGCTTTTTATAAACTAAAACAAGTTTTTTTACTATTGTATTAAATGTCGTATGATAAAAAATTTTAATTTTGTTTTTATTCCTTTTACAAAACAAAATTATCTCAAATATTTCAAAAGTTATAATTGTTGTAGTAACACCCTCTAAGTCAAAATTTTCAAAAAAAAACAAGAAGCCGTAAAGCTCACTCTGAAACAGCCGTGGAGGATGAAGTAACTAGTTTTATTAACAATCATGCGTCTAGTGAAGAAGTTAAAGAAAAGTTAGTATTTCGATATGAGGAATGTAAAAAAGAGGATATTGATTGCATTGACAAAATATGGGCCAAAAAATTAGCTTCTACTAAAACCGCATATGAAAAAGACAGAAATAATAAAAATTCAAAAAATTTGCAAAATAACAAACAAGAGGATAACCACCAAGACCATAATATCAATTGCTCAACTTCCTCTAGCTCAACAAATATAGATAGTAATCATAATCAAACATCAGACATTATAACTTCAAAAAACTGGTCATGCCCAATCCAAAAAAAATACAACCTAAGGTCATCAATCTTATCAACTAAATACCTGACAACATCTCAAATATCACTTCTTACAAAAGGTCCAAAGTTTTGCCATACTACTAAAGGAAATATTTTACACATTGATTCTGATATAAAACAATTCACAAGGAAACTAATACTTAAAGAAAAATTTCATAGAACGGAGAATACAGACATAAGACATAATTAAAAAAAAGTCAAATTATAATATTAAAACAACTCTACCATATCTTGATGAAATCATTTCAAAAATTGAACAAATTAAACCTATCAAAATGCAGTCAGTTGACAACATTACTCAATAAGAAAGGATAGCATTAAAAGATCTAAAAGAAATGAAAAATATAGTTAATAAAAAAGCAGACAAGAGAAACACTTTTATTGTAATGAGTTCAACTTATTATAATTAAAAACTAGTTCATCAAGACCACCTGCTGTCCGCAAGTACTTATGAAAGGACAAAACCTGAATCAGATTAAATAGTTTTTAGAGATTTAATAAAAATGATAGGAAAATATAATTTTCTAACAAAAAATGAAATAAATTAAATCACAAATTTTATACGGAAATCTAGTTGCTTCTATATAACTCTGAAAATTCATAAATGTCAAAAAATTATAGACAAAGTTAATGCATCTGACTCACTTAATAACGAAATGTTGCCACCAAAAGATCTCAAAGGTAGACCAATTATTGCTGGAATTAACTCACCAACATCACATTTAAGCCAGTTCTTACATATAATTTTGTCTCCAATTGTAACAAAACTAAAATCTTTTATTAAAGATGATTGGGATTTCTTAAGAAAGATTCTAAGAGCGTTAAATTCAGATAGTTGTATTTTGCATTGTGACATTGTTAATCTATATAATAGTATTCCACACAACCTAGGTATAGAACCATTAAAGTACTGGATTGAAAAACATAAAAGTTTAATAGATAAAAGATTTACTGAATTCATCATTGAATCAACATACTTTATTTAAAAAAAAAACAACTCTCTATTCAACGACCAAATGTTTCGGCAAATTATTGGAACAGCCATGGGTACCAATTTCGCTCCAGATTATGCATGCCTAACAATTGGATATTCAGAAGAAACAAGACTTTTTCCAACAAAGATGTAAATGACATACAGGACATGATGGAAATGACATATAGATATATTGATGATGGTTTCTTAATCTGGCCAAAACATTTAGATATCGTTAAGTTTAAAAATTCTTTGACCGAAATAGATAATTCAATCAGTTTTACAACAGACACGGGCAAAGGATTTATAATAGATGGTAATACTTTTAATATTATTAATTTCTTAGACATATCTATTATTCTTAAAAACAACAGAAAAATAAAAACTGATCTTTATTATAAAGAAACCAATACTCATGACTACTTAAACTATAACAGCCATCATCATATCATATAAAAAAGAACATCCCTTATGGCCTTGCTAAAAGAATAATTGTTTTCACATCTGAATAAAATAAAGAAAAACAACGTTTAGCAGAATTAAAAAGGTGGCTAAAAGAATACGAATATCCTAATAATATTATTGAAAAAGCATTACACAACATGAAACTCCAAGGACCAGCTCCCCAAAATCAATCAAAAAATTTTTTTCCTTTAGTTATAACTTTTTACAGCAATCTGAACTGCCAACCTTTTATTACTGAAACAAATCTTTTGCTTAATCTATCTTCAAATGAAAGAGTGAAAGAAGTTTTTTCTAATGTCCAACCAGTAATTGCATTTAAACAACCACCCAATCTACTGAGAACACTTACTTCTTCAAAAATTCAATCAACCAGTAAAGAAGTAGGATTATTTAAATGTAATGATAATCGTTGTAAAATATGTAAATTCTACCTTCAAAAAGTTAAATCATTTACGACATCAAATGGTACTATATGGAACATAAAAAGCCATATTACTTGTAATAGTAAGAATGTAATATACTATTTAAAATGTTTGTCATGTAACAAGAAAGCTACATACATCGGAAAAACAAATAACCTACGACTTTGCACAAACAGGCACATTTCTAGTTGTAGAACCGGGCAATCAACAGATAGGTTTGATAACCATGTTTTTAATTGTCAACGTGCGCATAACACCATTATAGAACTTTTTTTCCAGCTTTTTGTGTTTGTGGAGCTTAAAAATGAAAAAACCTAATTTCTTATGAGAAGCATTTTCACAACCAAAAACATGATACTTTTAATTGACATTACAATATAGATTACAATAGTTGCTAACAGCAACATTAAATAGTTATCATTTCCTATTTTTTATATGTATTTATAATTTTTAATAACTTAAACTTTTTTTACTTGAGATAACTTTTTGAATAAAAAGTTCAATTTCTTTCCAATTTTCACTGGAATGTCAAAAAATTGATTACCATTCTAAAATAAATGAATTTTTAAAGTAAATAAAAAAAAAATTTAACACTTTGTCAGGAAACTCTTAGCATTGATTACTGCTAGACAGCAACAAGGCATTGAGTCCAACAGCTTCATAATCACATTATTGTTGATTTTTCCCATTCTTTTTTCAGAATTTTAAATAAATCATGTTTACTTATTGATTTTTGACCTGAAATTTGTCGATCAAAATGTTCCCATAGTTGTTCAATAGGATTAAGGTCAGGACTTTGTGAAGGCCATTACATTAATCAAATTTTTTTAATCTTGAAAAAGTCTTTCACAAGAGTTGAAGTGTACTTTGGGTCATTGTCCTGCTGAAACACTCTAGAAGCATTAAGTCTTTAGCATGGGGTAGCATAACATCCTTAATGATATCTTTGTACATATTTTTGTCCATTATGCCATCAATCAAATGGATAGGACTGACACAATCTCTATTTAAGCAACTCCAGACCATTCTGTTTCCACCTCTGTGCTTTACTGTTTGTAGCTGGTATTTAGGATCGTTTCTATGGCCTTTAGGTTGGGGAACATATTTAATGCCATCAGATCCAAATAACTTTAAAAAACTTAGATTCATCATTAAAAAGTACTTTCAACCATTATTCTCTTGACCAATTCAAATGTTCATTAGCAAATCTCAAGCGTGCTTTTTAATTCTTAATAGAAATAAAAGGTTTGTTTGCAGGATGTCTTTTAAATAGATTTGCAAATTAAAGATGACCAGATAATGCTGTCTTGTCATCTTTAATTTGCAAATACACACATGCACACACATACACACACAAATATATAAAAAAAGAGTAATTGTTAAATTTTTTTTTTTTAAATCTTTCAAATTAATGTTTTTTTAAATATTAGGAAAATTTAATTTGTTAAAATAATGTGGTGATTAATATTATAAATACCATAATCATTTACCAAAATTTAAACTGAATTTTATAAACTATTAAATAATCTTGTACTTTATCAAGTTTTTTTATTTATAAATTTATAAGTTGTGATAATAAAATATTATTCATAAATTATCTGAAAGTAAGAACTTTATCAATTCTAAATCTTTAAATCATTATATGGTAAAAGTTATTTGAAATGCAAATAATAAAAAATAATCAAAATTTTCAGAGAGAGTTATTATATTAATAATATTTTGCAACAGGTTTTTTCAAAAAAAGAGGTTGGTTGGCACTGTTTTTTAAAAAACATGTTTTAAATTTTTTTGTTTTTTGTTTTTGTGTTTTTTATTTTTGTCTATTTTTAGTTTTTTATTACATAATGTTTGTTATCATTTTATATTGTCCTTTAGTAAAGTATAAATTGGTAATTTATCAAATCATTTTTTTATTTTAATTATTTTCTTTAGAGGTTCTATTGGAACTATACTTACTGGTCTAGTTATATTATGGTGCAGCATATCAGCTTCTAAGTTATTTGTTACTGTTCTTGCAATGGACCATCAACAGCCATTAGTAGCTTATCCTTGTGCTTTGCTGTATGGTGTATTTGCGCTACTAACTGTATTTTAGACATTTTGTAAAAATGCTTTTTCAATGAATATACTTAAATTAAATAATAAAATTTTGTTCTTTAAAGTTTCAACATTTTGTGGATATTTTCTCGTTACTTTTAACAAAAACATAATTTTTATTTTTTCTATTTATTAATTTTCTATTGAAAAGAGTTTGATGTATTTTCAAATGTTATTGTATTTATTTAAATCACTTAAATTTTAATATTATTTTTTTTTTTTTATTTCTGACTATCTTGTTTGATATTTATGTCTATTTTGTCTTTCTAACTGTTTAATATTGTCCAATATTAAATGACATTTGGCTATTTGGAATTTTTTGTTTGTTTAAGTCTGCTCGCTGTTCAGTTATATTTACTTGATCAACTCTTTTTACTTTAATAGTTTTGATTTTCTATTTGTTGCTTGTTTATTTGTTTTTGATGGTTAAATTTTTTTATTTATTTTCTCTTCATTTCACTTTTAACTCAATTTATTCTCATATTACTTTATTTTATTTTTATCTAGTGTATATTGTTCATTTATATATTCACTTGGTTAGTTATCATTATTTTATACTTGATTAGCTATACATTTACCTTTTTACTTTGTGTATATTTAGTTATCTAAAGTGTTTTATTTAGTAGTATTTATCTATCTTGTTAAAATTACTTAGTATTTAATGCAAATTATAGTCAAAAACGTCTTTAGTTTCTTTAAACAACCAAAGTCTTTTTATCTTGTTAAAAAACTCTTTCAGTTTCAAACAGATTTTTATTGCTACATTCCTTTGAGAATGAGTTCCACTATGATATCAGATATTTCAAGACACACAGATAAACATGTGAGTATATTATTATTGATTTTTTGTTTTGTTTTGTTTTGTAAATTTACCATATTAGGTTTTGTAATTTTATTGTAAAGAATTATTATTTTTATAGTAATCTTTGAAGTTAAAAAGTGGTGATGATAATGACTAAGTTTTTTTTTTTTTTTTTTTTTTTGATGATAATGATAAATAATAATAGTGTTCTGTTATAAATCTGCTTTTTTAGGAGAATGATGTAATTCAACTTAAAAAGGAAATTCATAATCTTAAACATATATTAAATAATGTAGTTGAAGATGATTGCTCTGTTGAACTGAATGAGCTGCGCACCAAAAATGCAAAGTTGCTTTATCAAAAAACTCAGTTAGAACGGGTCAGCATATGAATTTTTGCTTCTGAATAATGTTTATTTATGATAATTATATTGTTTGATTATGATTGGTTACTAGAATAATTTTGATGTTACAATTGATTAATATAATATTTGTATTGTTTGGTTGTGGTTGGTTAATATGATATATAAAGTCTTACAACATAAATTGTTCTCTAATTAGGCATTAATTCAAGAGAAAAATGTTTCCTCTTCAAAAATGATCAATATTCAAACAGCATTGAATCTTTTGTTTGAAACAGCAATATGTAATGCATTTCCTGAATTTATTAATCCACCCGTTTCTCTAACTGTAGCTCAAAATTCAAATTTTGGAGACTATCAATGCAATAGTGCGATGGCAATTGCAAAGGTTGGTCTATCAACATGAAGAAATCTTTTTTTTTTTCCTTTTTTTATTTGATGAAAGTTTAAACTTAGTTTCAAATTTAGCTGGCAGAAAAAAAGCATGGGAAGAAATTATCTCCTGTAGTAATTGCTGAAAAGATATTAGAAAATCTTCCTTCAAATCCAGTTGTAAAAGAGGTAAAAGTGATATGAAACTTTAAAAAAAAAAAAAGTTGTAAAAGAGGTAAAAGTGACTTTTAGGATAATGATTGAAAGAAATTGCAGTTATTTTTTCATATAAATAAAAAAATATTGTTTTTTTTTTTTAATTTACAGGTTTCAATTGCTGGTCCTGGTTTTATTAATATAACACTAGAAAAACGTTTTGTTTGTGATATACTTAATAAAGTACTTCATGAAAAAGTTCATCCTCCTGGTGTTGGGAAGAAAAAAAAAGTTATAATTGATTTTTCCTCACCAAATATTGCTAAAGAAATGCATGTTGGACATTTACGTTCAAGCATAATTGGTGAAAGCTTGGCAAGACTTCTTGAATTTTTAAATCATGACGTATTAAGGTAAAATATAATATCAAAACTGCACATCTCCCCACAACTATGACTAAAAAAACTCAAAAACCTAATGAACATGATTATTCTTTTTCCAAAGATAAGAGTAACCGATGCTTAAGATAACATGTCACAACTAAAAATCTGAACAAACATTGTAATTTCAATATATATAAATATATATATATATATATATATATATATATATATATATATATATATATATATATATATATATATATTATTGCAAATTTAAAATTTCTACAATATACTTAGAAATGTACTGGAACCAGTTTATGAGTCTCCGATTCCAAATACCTGAAAAACTGAGTCCATTTTAAAAAGATGGTAATAAAAGTTTGTGAAATCTCTAGTACTAAATTGTTTTCACAAAATTACTTTGATTAATTTGTGCTAATTAAGTTTGCCTAAATATATCAAGTTTCATTTTAATAAACAACTATATTTACACTCAAAGTCACAAATTCAAATTACACAAACTAAAGTGTAAACTCGATGTGTGTAAATATTATTTTTCCCTCTGGTTTGTTAAGATTTGGAATAATATGCTGTCTGAGGAAGTTAATACCAAAAACATCAAGTGCTTTAAAATTAAAGTTAACTTTATAAACTCTAAAAATTACTATTATGGCTAACTAATTTTCGTTAGTTAATTAATTCTTGATTACAAGTGATGTTTTTCTTTGTGCAACACTGGCAATGCTTTCTGACAATGTAGGGTTCTGAACCGGATGTCTAATGAGGTAAAATTAAAATTTCTAAAAGAAAAGATAAATACGAGCCAAAATTATTCGTTTGGATTTGTTCGAGAAAAGAGTCTAATATCATTACATTGCTCCTTTGGGCCAAGTAATTGACAGGGATGTGTGCATTCCAGATATCTGGTTAAATTAAAGAAGTTCATCAATGAGGTTCACAAAAACAATAAGATTGTTTTCTGCCCTGATCTAGCTTTTGAATAATATTCAAACAAGATCAAGATTACCTAAAACACGAAAGTATCGAATACATGCTGAGACAAAAATGTGACTGAAATGTGCACAATAGAGAATTTATGTGAAAAATCACATATATAGGCTTGGGGTGGGTATGTTCACAAGAGTTGACTGTGTTGACCAAAATGGACTGAAAAACAATTGAATTTTTTTATAATTTTGTAACAATGTTTTTAGGTAAAGCACAAGTTTCTATTAATTATGCTTTTTAAATTAATAAAATTGATAATTGATAATCATTTATTAGATACTTATTTTTAAAGTTTGTCCAGATTTTTAGCTGTGATATGTTATAATTTAGTGGCTTCAGTAATTATCATAATGGTTTTAATCAAGCCATAGATAAGTTATTATTATTATTATTTTTTTGCTTATTCTTTTTTTAATTTTTCTGAAAATAGTATTTTGGTTTGATATAAAAATATTAAAAAATATCTATTAAAAAATTCCTGTAATATTTTTTTTATAAATAGATACGGGCTTTTTTTTTAGACAAGGTTTTTTTTTTTAATCTTTTTTCATCACCTTATATGTTCTATATAATAAAATATACAATAAATTATATGTTTAATAAAATATGCATGCTTTTGTGAATCGCAATTAAAAAAAAAAAAAACAGTAAAAAAAAAAGTTTTTATGTAATTTTGATCTTTTGAGAGTCATTTAAAAGACATTTTTTTTAAAAGAAATTTTTTTTTTTAATTTTTTTTTGCTATTAGTTTGTGCTAAAAAACAAAAGATTATTAGTTACCCCTTTTAACAGGTCTAGGATTCTACATTTAAACTTTGTAAAAACTGAGTAAAAAGGTTTAAGTAGAATTTAGTGACAATTTGTTTGACCTAATACATTAAGCATTTCTCATTGTCAAATTTCATAAAATTTAAACCATTTTTTATAAAAAAAAAATTTATAATAACTATAAACTTTTTATAATTACACCTTATGATTTATAATAACTATAAACTTTTTATAATTACACCTTATGATTTATAAACATTAAACTATTTATAATTACACCTTATGATTTTAATTTGTCTTTGTTCAAGCACAATAATATGCCAGTTTTTTTACTTTTTTTTTACAAATTTTTGCCAAACTATTTTTATAGTATTTTTATCATAATATTATCTAGGTTAAATCATGTTGGTGACTGGGGTACACAATTTGGGATGCTTATTGCACACCTAGAAGATAAATTTCCAAACTTTAAAGAAGTTTCTCCTCCAATTGAAGATTTGCAAAGTTTTTATAAAGTAATTTTTTTTAACGTAAATTCTATGATTATTAAAATAACCAAATGATTTAATTATTAATTTAAAAGCAGGTCCGGGTCCAGACCTCAGTCATGAAAAAACAAGAACAAAATATTGTATATAGCATTACTGGGTATGGGATCATGGCTTATTTTATTTATAAGCCCGGATATTTTGCATTTTGAAGAAAAAAATAGAAGGCCAGTTTTCTTGTGAAGTGTTTTTAAAGAAGTAGCTTTGGAAGTTTGAAAAAATGGTTAACAAATGCTGCATTGTAAATCGTTGTTCAAATTATCATAATTATGGTGAAGTATCTACAGTAGTATTTTCGTTTCCAAAAAATAAAGAGTTAAAAAAAAATTGGATTTAATTTGTAAATAGAAAAGATTGGACACCTACTAATTCTTCCTTATGTGCATCAAACATTTTGAAAAAAAATATTATAAGAAAGGTAACGCCAATCAATGTTTTAGATTAATAAAAAAACTAAAGCCTATTCCAACTATTTTTGATTGCACAAATTTGACTGAAGAAGGTTCATCACAACTTATAAAATCTTCTAATTCATTAAGAAAATCACCATCAACTAAAAAAATATTTTAGCCAGATCAATATGAACAGTTTTTATTGAATGATATGATTTATAGCTTTGAAGGTATTACTGAAAGTCTTGCTTCATCAAGGAAGAGATTGTTGATTATCTTGCAAAAGTATGCTTCATAATTTTCCTACCTACATTAAATCACAAGCCAAACAATTTTCATATGTATTGACTGAATTACAGCAAATTAAATATATGAAAAAAACCTATTTATTCAGCCAATATTATAAAGTATTCACTGATATTATTATATACTTCTATGCAGTAATACCAATTTTTGCGTGAAGAGTTATCTTTACCATCATTATTATTACTTGAAAAAATAACTAGTGGAAATATTGATGCTCTAAGTTGTGCAAAATGTTTAAAATTAGAAGGTAAGATATCTCAAGACATATGCTTGATTTTTGATAAAAAATCAAGCAAATGTCTTGAGATATCTTACCTTCTAATTTTAAACATTAAAAAAAAAATGTACTTGCAAAAATGTTAGGAGTATTATGCTGGAGAGATGATTGGTAGTGATGAGTTTGGAAAAATCTATAAGGAAATAGTTTTTTTTATGATAGTTGGCCTGAAACAAAATATTTCATATGTGATTAAAATGTCTCCTATAAAAACAATCAATGCTGAATGGTTGAAAGAAGAAATTTTTGAATGTCTTCGTATTTTAACAGAATGTGAATTTTATGTTAGAGTTAAAGTGTGTGACAACCATTCCTCTAATGTTTCTTGTTTTAAAAAAATCCTTTGTGGATCGAATCAACAAGCCAGATTCAGTTTGCGCATTCAGTTTAAAATTGAATTCAGTTTTTTGTTTTGTACAATGAATAGAAAGTTATGAAGTCATTACTGCTAACTGATAAAATAGAATGTTTCGTCTCAATGAGAATTTAAATTAAAAAATTAAAACTTGAATGCACCCTTATTAGGAGATAATAGAATGAGTTGCCTAATCATAAAAACGCAAGCAAAACCCATGCATTGAGTCAAGAAGATCCAGCATTTAACATCTTAAATTGGAAACAATGCATTATAAGTACATCTTCATCATCCTAATAGATGAAGAGAAGGTGCGAGACTGGTTAACAGATAGAATCTGTTTACCCCTTAAGTTTTTGCCTAGGAGGCATTTTACAAGACATTAGCCTGTTGCGTATATTATATTAGTGTTAAAATAATGAAATTAATTTTTTCATAAAGAAAAATATGTTAGCTGAAAATCTGTTTTTGTTTAAAAAACAATGCATAGAAACATTTAGTTTTGACTTTATTTAAAGATGCCATTTTTCTGTAATAAGTGCATGCTCAAATTACGCAGTGTTTTTCATTGGAATTATCTAGTTTTAAGTCCTAAAACTGCAATGGTTTTAATTGCTTTTTTGAATAAAAACAAAACATAGTAAAAAATTTAAACATATTTTTCTGTAATTTAAATTGAAAAAATTTGAATTTCTATTGTTCAAAGGTTTAAGTTAATAAAATTGAAGAAATAATGAACTAATTTTTTTTATTATTATTTGCAATACTACTAAAACATAGTAGTATTGTTTCAACAAAAAGTGGCCTAAAATTTGATTTTTTAATGATAAGTTTTGTTAATAACAAATCATTATATTCCAAGTATTAGTTATAATTGTCAGGTTGGTATTTTTTTTACTCAATGTTATTTTTTTGAGCCAATTTAAAGTGCTCATATTACCAAGTGGTAATATGAGCACTTTTGCTACTTTTTTAAAACCTCTGTGTTTTTAAGAAAAAATATTAGGGTGCTCAAATATCATGTGAATCATGTTTATCCCTAAAAATAGTTTATTCGCACAAATTTTGGATCTGATTATTTTTTGAAATATTTCAATTTTTGCTTAAGGTGCTCATATTACCCTAATCTACTCTCTCTCTCTCTCTCTCTCTCTCTCTCTCTCTCTCTCTCTCTCTCCCCTATATATATATATATATATATATATATATATATATATATATATATATATATATATATATATATATATATATATATATATATATATATATATATATATATATTTGTAAATTTATATACAATGACGAACTTGGAGTATTTTTAGGATACTGTTTTTTTTGTGGTGGTAGTGGGGGTGGGGGTGGGATAATCTTGTTGTAACCCCTCCTTTAAAATTAAAATAATAGTCATTACGCTTATAAAACCCTTACCCTGCACAATTACTATATTATTAAGACTGAAATTTATAGTATGTGTATGTGTGTATATATGTATATGTGTGTATGTATTTATCTATATATATATATATATATATGTGTGTATGTGTATAAGGGTGTGACATCCTCCCCCTTTATTCTAAAAAAGATTTGTTCATATTCTCCAAACTTTTTATTGGTTCTCACAACCAACTTTGTTAAATTTTTTCCAAATTTTATTGGATTTGTATCAAACCCTTAAACACTTACAAGATCCTTAATATTATATAAAAAAAAGTATTTCAAAAGAAGCGAAATTATATAAAAGTTTTTAAAATAACTATCATTTTATGAAAAAATTATTTAAGATTTCCTTTGGAATAATTATCAGAAAAATACACTTTTTTCATTTTTAGGTTAAAAAATGTCATTTTTATGCAAAAACTCTAAAATGATCACTTTTTAATAATATAATTATTATTTTAAAGTTTTTTATATAATTTCACTTCTTTTGAGACCCAACATGACATACTTTTGAAAAACTGTTTTTGATATAATATTAGGGACCTGGTAAGTGTTCAAGGCAGACCCTTGGAATAATTATCAAAAGAATACACTTTTTTTATTTTTGTATGCTCCCCCTAAATCCAATAAAATTTTGAAAAAATTTAACAAAGTTGCTTATGAGAACCAATAGAAGATTTTAAGAATATGAACAGATCTTTTTTAGAATATAGGGCGCGGATGTCACACCCTAATTTATATGTATGCATATTCAGGTACTTTGTCTTTGTTTTGTTTTCACATTTTGCTTTATTTCAACTTTTTTGTTTATTTCAACTTTTTTGTTTTGTTAATTTATTTTGTTGTAGATTATTAAATTTGTTTTTTGACTTATTTTGTTTTTCTTATTTTTTTTCTCAGATTTATTAGTATGTAGAGCGTCAACCTGATAATATGTCATCTTATGGTTCAACTCCCACTATAAACCTATAAAATAATTTTTTATTAAGTTTCTTTCAGACTTTACACATGGGTCATGAGTCTGAGTATTTCTATTGTATGTGTGGTGTTTATACTTTTTAAATATATTTATTAAACTCTTTATATTTATATATATTAAAAAGATATACTGAACAGATGTTCAGAACAAAATATAGTCTATATTTTGTTCTGAACATCTATTCAATGTATCTTTTTTAAATTGTTTACCTTTCCACTCTTCCTAATTTTTTCTTTGTTTTACTTGTTAAAATGAAAACTATTTTTTATATGTTATAATAAAAAGTTTATATTATAATAGTTGTCCTTGATATAACTTTATTTGATATAATTAACTATAATTTTTTAAAGAATGAATACTAACAAATAAATTTAAATATATATATTTTTAAATTTATTTTAAAGATATATATATATGTATATTTTAATTTAAAATGTGAATAATTTAAATTCAAACAACACAATATGTTATGCATGAGTGAATCAATATAAATAAGCAAACAAAATTAAAAAAAAAAAGTTCTAGAAAGCTTAGCATATTTGATCCTATACATCCATTATTCAGAATATTCTTAAATTTATGTATAAATATTCCAACACAATTAAAAAATATTATAATCAATCCCCTTTTAAAAATATATTTAAAAAAAGCAAATAGTTGTAGAGAATTCTTTTATAATATTATGAACATATTCCACAAATGCGTGAAATATTACAGTAGTTAAGACATTTATGATTTCCTCTAATTTAATTTTTGTATATATAGAAGCTTTCATAATTTTATCTTTATAGATGAAACACAGTGTAAAATGAAAAATAATATTTGATAAGTGATTTTCTACTAAATTAAATTATTATGTTAAAAGGCTTCGAAGAAACGTTTTGATGAAGATGGAGAATTTAAAAAGCGTGCATATCAAAGAGTAGTAGATTTGCAAGGTGGAAACCCAGATGTGAAAAATGCGTGGAAATTAATATGCGATGTTTCACGAAAAGGTTTTTCATAATTATTTATGATTTTGTACTAATTTAAGTTGTAAATTTCACAATTTAGTTTGTTTTATTTTGTTATGTATATTTACTTATGTAGTTAAATATGTGTTCAATAATATTTTTTTAATCAACTAAACAATAGAGTTTCAACGTATTTATGATCGCTTGGATATAACACTTATTGAACGAGGTGAATCATATTACAATGATCTTATGCCAAAAATAGTTGAGGATCTTAAAAAAGGAAGTATGAATGTTATTTTTAATAAATTTTTTATTACTTTTAATAATAAATTGTGTATTGATGTATGTGTTTTTCAAGTTGGTTTTTTGGGTTACAGTCTAATAATATTGGCCAGTGAAATACTAGTTGAATTTGAACATTTAACCAAATATAATAAATTTAAAATTAAAGTTACAAAAAAATAAAAAAATTTAAATAAAGACAATAAAAATAAAAAATGCAAAAAGTGAAAAGAAAAAAGAAAATATTTTCAAAATGCCAGATAATTTAAAAGTATTACCAAATTCAGCATTTAAAAATTAAAACCGAATATATTAGTATTGTGTGTATATTGTAAGATAGCATACAACTGTGTGTGTAGGATAGCGCACAACTGTATGTGTAGGATAGCGCACAACTGTGTGTGTAGGATAGCGCACAATTATGTGTGTAGGATGACATCTTGGGGATAAACTAGTCAATGTTATAGCTACTAAATAAAAATATTGCAATAGCTGTCTACACATATACACTCAAATAAAGTTACACAAAACATAATGATGAAAAATAAGTTTATCATTAGCTTGCTAGCTTGTATAACTGCAGTTATACAAGCTAGCTAGCTAATGATAAACTTTTACTCAATCTCGCTAATCTCATTTAGTCAAAATCAAATAGTCAACTTTTCGACAACTTGAATCATTTATCTTCTCTACTCAACTTATGTCTTGTTTCTGATCCTAGTCAGTGCTCAGTTTCTCCGAATTCACCCTTAGGTGCTTCTGATCACAGTTTGATCTCTCTAAATTTATTATCTCATTCTTCATCATCAGAACTCCTCTATCATCGTACCTCTTACAATTACCTTAAAGCTGACTAAGACTCTTTTCGTGATTTTCTTCGTGATGGTCCTTGGGTAGAAATCTTGTCTTCCTGTTGACAAATGTGCTTCTTACATAACTTTTTGGATTCAGGTTGGCATGGAATCTTTTATGCCTTCTCAACAATGTCAGGTCAAGCCTCACTCTTCCCCATGGTTTTCCTTTCATTGTGCTGCTGCAATTTCTAATTGAAACTATTACTACCATATCTGTTAGCAAAATGTTTCTCCTGAAAACAGACGCCTGTTTACTATTGCTAGAAACCATTATAATTTGTCATCTCACCTAAAGACAATATCATCTTTTGATTCCACTCGTAGCTTTTTTGCTGATATAGCCAACAAACAGGTTGATCCATCGCTTGACATCGAATCACTCCAACTTCTGTATCTAAAGTGATTTCCTGCTAAGACTCTTCTACAGCTTGTGGTCCGGACAACAAATCTGTTATAGTCATGCAGAAGTGTTCTCCGGAGCTGTCGTCTATACTTTCAAAACTATTTTTGAAAGTATAGACGAAAAAAAATCCTTTCCAATCATAGTATATAAGTTGTCATTGATGGACTGTACTCTTATTCATATCCTGTAACTTCAAGGGTTCTTTAAGATTCAATCCCTGGCCCTATACTCTTTTTAATTTACATTAACGATCTTCCAGATATTCTCACATCTAAGGTGGCATTGTTAACTGATAATATTACCATTTATTCTTGTCTTGATAATAAGCCAACATTCTCTGATTGTTTGGAGGGGGAATTTAAGCTTGAAAAGGATCTCACTTCTGTTACAGCATGAGGCTCACAGTGGCTGGTGAACTTTAATTCAGATAAATTTTTTCAGCCGATCATTTTTTGCAATAACTTAGATCTTCCTATATTTATGAATGGTAATGAACTCTATAAGTCATCTACCCTTTAACTCTTACTTCCGATCTTGTGCCATCTACTAAAATTTATTCTCGTGTTCCAAAAACTTTTATTCATCTAGTTTTTATCCTCAAACATCAGTTTTTTGGAATCTGCTTTGTTCATTATGCTTTCCTGATTCATATAATTTGCAATCTTTTAAGTCATCTGTCAATCGTTATCTTGCTCTATAAACTTCATCTCTTCTCTTCCAGTAACTTCCAACTATAATAGTGATTGCTTACAGCCTTGGAACTAAAGATGTTGAAAAAAAGAAACTTGATATTATTACGAATGTATGGTATGTGCAACATCATTTGTAGTACCTATGACATTTTTATTATGTATGACATCGTTTGTAGTATCAGAGTGTAAACTAGCCCTGTGGCGCCCCGTCAATTGCAGTTTTCCCAAATGCTCATAAAATTAAAATTCCCAATTTAAAGATGAAAAAATCCCATTCTCCAAAAAAAGTTTTCAAAATTAAAGTTTAATATTAATTCTAAAAATTATTTAAAATTAATTATTCAAAACTAATAGAAAAATAACATAAAAAAATTCTAATTCATTAATTGCGTAAAACATGAAATCAAATCTCCATTATTGGTATAAAGCGCAATTGTATAACTGCGAAAATTGGTTTCTTGGAAAAAACATCATGAGAATTGGGATTTTCGGAGCAATTTTTGTGGCAACTTGCAATAAAATTTGAAAAAAGTTTTTTGCAATGCATTCCAACAACAGCAAATATTATATAAAAAAGTTAGCAAGAAATAAAGTACTAATCTAAAAGATCCAAAATTAATAACAAACTTGTTTGGTTTAACACCCGCAAATCTTATTTCTTTAAAAGTTTCGCCCTTTTTGGCTAGAAAGTTTAATAACTTATTAAGCCTTACCGTAAACTTAACTTTAAGTAGTACATGTAATTCGTTAACAAAAACATCAAGAAGATTGTGTCAGATACTTTTGTCAAATACGGGTATTACCGAAAATCTTTTAGTTATTGTTTTTCTTTTTTTTGTTTGGTATTTTACATCAACTGAATTTGCTAAAGTTTTTTTATTTTTTTACTGTATTCTTCGATGCCACGCATGCAATCGCTTGCTAATGATATTACTCTATAATTAAACGACATTTGTTGTTGTATTTGCTGAGACTTTGTGATTATAACTTTATTTCGATAAGTGATTTATGAATAAAAAAATGTGAATAATGAAATTTATGAGCTCGTGTTTACTATTTTTAAAACCTTATCTATTTTCAAAAAATTTCTTTTGATGACTTAATTTATTACATAGTGATGTAAGGGTTCGTTCGTAAGGTACATCAAGCAGAATTTAAATAATAAATAGAAGTAGAAGATCATTGGCTCATTGGAGATCACTATTTTACTATATTACATTGAAAAAGAAATATATATTTAAAATAATACTCTTGAAATGAAAGCAGCGACAATATATAAAGAGTAAAAATAAATCAAAATAAATATTCTCAATAATAATTAATATACACTGATTAGTTTATAATAAAAAAAGATATTTTTCCTAATATATGGTTCTTAGTTTGCCGTGTCGTGAAACAACAGCTAATTTTGAGTTGATTTCATATTCATCTTTAATGATACAGATTGTATTTTATTTTATTTTTGGCGCTGATCAATCAATATATGCAGCCAAAAGAACACCAAAAAAGGACCTTATGCTTTCCCAGAACATATTTTAATCTTTAGGGAGGAGGGGGTGGTTGAGAAATACTTCGACAAATTCCCAATTTCGTTAAAACGCTGTATCAAATTTATTCCTGGTTAACACCCTGAGTATGTATGACATTATTTGTAGTACGTATGACATCATTTAAGATCACATTAAGATCTGGCAATATTTTTTAAGTTATTAATGGTTGATCGATGAATAATAGATTTAACTTTTGTTAAAAATCTGACACAATGCCCTTTCATCGCTATCACACCAGAACATACACCAATACAATTATTCAATTCTAATCTTTCTCTTTAAAAAATTCATTAATTTGTAAAAAATGTCTTCACCTGTTTATAAAAAAAAGATATATCTTTTTCATTGGCTGACAAAACATTAAATCTTCATGTATAAAAAAGTCTAATAACATAAGCTAAATTTTTAATATTTGTTCAATCAATCAATCAATCAATTATATATTCTGGAAAAAAAGATCTAACTTCCACGGTCGTTACAAATAGTTATAAAAACTAATATAAAGTAAAAACCTCTTGGATGATATAAGACATATTATAGACACATAGTTATAGTGATAATAAAAATAGCAATAAATTAACAAAACAACAATGATAAAAATAATTAATTGTATAATAATAAGTATAACATTAATAATATTACCAGTAAGTATAATTAAAACCCTATAATAATGATTAAAATAAAATCATGATAATAATAAATACAAACATATATAACGGATTTGTTAAATAAATATTTAATAGAAGGCTGTTCATTAAATACGTCAACAAAAATTATAAAAACAAGTAACTAAAAGAATTCAATCAATACAATCTTTCATACAACAATCAATTATATATACATAGTTACAGTTACAAACAGTAATGAACTGACAAAACGTAACTAATAACGATGAAATAAAAACGATTATTGATAAAAGACTACAAAGACTCAATAAATATAATAATTTTAGTTTTTATAATATAATAACAAAAATATATTGTGTGTATAATAAACAAATAAAGAAAATATAAATAAAAAAACACTTATTATACATAAAATTAAGGTTAATAAAAGTAAAAAAATGCATTAAATGCATAAACGACATATAAATATAACAATAAAAATATATATTGTTGGAAGTATAACTTAATGCTGGTTCATATTTATGTAAGAACTATAGGTTAAAAACGATTTCTTAAGAGAATATGATTATGTCTATGAAACAATCAATTAATCATTTTTTTTTTTTTTTTCAAACAATCAATTATATATTCTGGAAAAAAGATCTAACTTCCACGGTCGTTACAAATAGTTATAAAAACTAATATAAAGTAAAAACCTTATTGATGACATAAAACATATTATAGACACAGTTATATTTATAATAAAAATAGTTCATTCATCCAGCTGAGTTGCAAATTTCAGACTTCATTTACTTCTTTATATAAGTTGCTGAAACTGATAACAGCTATTATAGACATAAATTTTTAACAATCATTTGCTTTGATTTGATGTCTTTAATAAATTTCGAAGATATTCTACAGGTTTTGTTAAATAAGCATCATGTTTGATTTTGATATGTCGCCAAAATATTGTGTCAGTAAATGCAAATCCATATTGTAAATATAATTTATTATATTTTTGTCTTGAAAGTTCGCAGCTTGCCTTAAAAATGCATGTCAGAAAAATTGTCGAAATGCAACAAAATTTTCTTGTAATGAATAAAACTACAAGGTTTTCTTTTAGATATTTGTGAAAAAGCTGATGATGGACGTTGGATTGCATGGGCTCCAAATATGAAGATACCATTAATTTTAGTGAAATCAGATGGCGGGTTTACATATGATACAAGTGATTTAGCTGCTTTGCATCAAAGGTTAAAAGATGAACATGGTGAATGGGTTATTTATGTTGTTGATGCTGGACAGGTAAAAAATTAACTTTATTGTTTTTTTTATAATGACTTATTTTTCTATTAAGTGTGTGAAAATTTCTTTCATCAACAGGGTGACCATTTTAAGCAAGTATTTGGTTTAGCTCAAAAAGCTGGTTGGTACAATCCCTCTATCACACGTGTAGATCATGTTGCTTTTGGAGTTGTTCTAGGAGAAGATAAGTATGTAGTTTTTTTTTTATTACAATTAAAAGGTTAAAACTTAAGACACTACCATTCCTACTATTGCACTAAAGTACTATTTTTAATACAGCAGTTACTTTTGTGCTACAAAAACTTTGATCACACAATTAGTTCACATTTTCATGAAAAGATATAGGCCAGAATATATAAAAGATTTATGTGATGTAGTAAGCTAATATCATCTCCTTTCATAAATTTGCAAACAATCAAGCATTAACCCTATGGTGACGAGTGACCAGCATTACGATTCATAAAATCTGTTCCTGAATGATGAGTGACCTGCATAGTGGTTTCAACAATTTTGAATATTCTAAAATTCAACAATTTTGAATATTCTAAAATATCTATACAACTGGGAAAAATTTAAAATTTATCGTTAAAATGGAAATAATGTTATAAGTTTATGCTTCTATTATAAACCATTTGTTTATTTTTTACAGATCACTATTAAGTCAATTTTGAAACATGGCTAAATTAGAATAAATTATACTGATATAAATGCGATTTTTTTTTTTTTTTTTGACGATAATGGTGTTGTTAATAATATTGCTCTTGGTGTCTTGTGAATCTGAATGTATTTTAGAATGCATAATTGAGAACTGCTTTGTATGAGGATTTGTTAACTCAAAACTTAGTTTTTACCTTTACCATCCATCAAAAATACTCCTAAAAATCAAAGTTTTTTTTATGTAATATTTCTGCATTTAAGGAACAAGCAGCTAGTGACTTAAATATAGAATCTAAGACTAAAGAGAAACTACATAAAAAATATTTTAGTGAAAAAAATATGGGATCTGATAGTAAAATGGAAAATTGAATTAATCAACTAATTTTTAGCTTGGGAAAATTGTTTGTTTTGGGTGATTTTACAAAAGCTAATAATCTTTTGACTAGATAATCTTTTTTTTTTTTTCTTTTTGTTTAATCACCACTATAAATGCTTATTTAATCTTATTTAAAATCTTTTTTAAAAATTTAATTTTATTTAATATCTTATTTAAAATCAAAAATGATGTTTTGTATTTTTCCTTTATTTGTTTAAGGTTACGTAAAAAAATTATATATTTTTGTTTATTTCAACAACATATATTTAATCAGATAACCAAGGTAACTTTTGTAAAAAGTTGTATAAATTTTGATATGATATATGTAGATACTATATAGTTGCAAAAGGTGTCCTCCAAAAAAGTGAAAATTATTTTTAACTTTACATTTTATAAAAAAAATGTTTTAGTTGGTACTGCTCAATATTTTTTGCTTATTTTTTTTTTCTTGAAAAAAAACATAAAAACATTAAATTTATTATATTTATGAATTAAAATTTGACTGTTTTTGAAGTTAAAGATCTTCATTATTTTAAGGAAAAAGTTTAAAACACGATCAGGTGACACTGTTCGTTTATCAGAATTACTGGATGAAGGTTTAAAGCGCTCTATGGACAAATTACTTGAAAAAGAGCGTGATAAGGAACTATCTCCTGATGAGCTTAAAGCGGCACAGTCATCTACAGCTTATGGTTGTATCAAATACGCTGATCTATGTCATAACCGTCTTATGGACTATGTGTTTTCATTTGATAAGGTAATTGCTTTATTAGTTTTACTAATATTAAAATGTTATTTTCATGTAGGGTGCATATATATATATATATATATATATATATATATATATATATATATATATATATATATATATATATATATATAAATTAGTAAAAACAATTATCTAGTTTTTAGTTTTTCTTATCCAATTACGTGTTTTTACTAATTTATTATTGCTCTGTTCTTTAAGAACATCGAATACTCTAGTTGTAGAATACACTAATATATATGTATATACTAGCTGTCATGACCTGTAAAATACTGGTCTTTAGGATATTGATACGCACTTTATCTGCATGCTTGCACAGGGATTATCTTTTTCCGGAATTCCGGATATTTATTTTAAATTTTAGTTTTTCCGGATATCCAAAACATTTTCAATACATGCAAGTTGAGGTATATATTTTTGTAATATAATTGTTTTTTTTAAGTTTTTTCACTCATCACTCATAGAAAAATTATGAAGTGTTAAAAAAAGTTATAAACAACTTAGCTAAAAGCAATATTAAAAAGAAAATAAGAAAAAACAAATTCCAAATTTTTTTCGGATAATTTATTCAAACAATTTTCCGGATTTTTAAAATATGATTAGGATGATGTATGTTACAGCTCATTAAAATATAATAAAATGTCAGGTTGCATAAAACTCTAAAATATAATAAAATGTCAGGTTGCATAAAACTCTAAAATATAATAAAATGTCAGGTTGCATAAAACTTTAAAATATAATAAAATGTCAGGTTGCATAAAACTCTAAAATATAATAAAATATCAGGTTGCATAAAACTCTAAAATATAATAAAATGTCAGGTTGCATAAAACTTTAAAATATAATAAAATGTCAGGTTGCATAAAACTTTAAAATATAATAAAATGTCAGGTTGCATAAAACTCTAAAATATAATAAAATGTCAGGTTGCATAAAACTTTAAAATATAATAAAATGTCAGGTTGCATAAAACTCTAAAATATAATAAAATGTCAGGTTGCATAAAACTCTAAAATATAATAAAATGTCAGGTTGCATAAAACTCTAAAATATAATAAAATGTCAGGTTGCATAAAACTCTAAAATATAATAAAATGTCAGGTTGCATAAAACTTTAAAATATAATAAAATGTCAGGTTGCATAAAACTTTAAAATATAATAAAATGTCAGGTTGCATAAAACTCTAAAATATAATAAAATGTCAGGTTGCATAAAACTCTAAAATATAATAAAATGTCAGGTTGCATAAAACTCTAAAATATAATAAAATGTCAGGTTGCTTAAAACTTTAAAATATAATAAAATGTCAGGTTGCATAAAACTCTAAAATATAATAAAATGTCAGGTTGCATAAAACTCTAAAATATAATAAAATGTCAGGTTGCATAAAACTTTAAAATATAATAAAATGTCAGGTTGCATAAAACTTTAAAATATAATAAAATGTCAGGTTGCATAAAACTCTAAAATATAATAAAATGTCAGGTTGCATAAAACTCTAAAATATAATAAAATGTCAGGTTGCATAAAACTCTAAAATATAATAAAATGTCAGGTTGCATAAAACTCTAAAATATAATAAAATGTCAGGTTGCATAAAACTCTAAAATATAATAAAATGTCAGGTTGCATAAAACTTTAAAATATAATAAAATGTCAGGTTGCATAAAACTTTAAAATATAATAAAATGTCAGGTTGCATAAAACTCTAAAATATAATAAAATGTCAGGTTGCATAAAACTCTAAAATATAATAAAATGTCAGGTTGCATAAAACTCTAAAATATAATAAAATGTCAGGTTGCATAAAACTCTAAAATATAATAAAATGTCAGGTTGCATAAAACTTTAAAATATAATAAAATGTCAGGTTGCATAAAACTTTAAAATATAATAAAATGTCAGGTTGCATAAAACTCTAAAATATAATAAAATGTCAGGTTGCATAAAACTCTAAAATATAATAAAATGTCAGGTTGCATAAAACTCTAAAATATAATAAAATGTCAGGTTGCATAAAACTCTAAAATATAATAAAATGTCAGGTTGCATAAAACTCTAAAATATAATAAAATGTCAGGTTGCATAAAACTCTAAAATATAATAAAACGTCAGGTTGCATAAAACTCTAAAATATAATAAAATGTCAGGTTGCATAAAACTCTAAAATATAATAAAACGTCAGGTTGCATAAAACTCTAAAATATAATAAAATGTCAGGTTGCATAAAACTCTAAAATATAAGTATAATAAAAGTTCATCTTTGAGTCAAGTGCAAAAACTCACTTTTGTGACAAATGCAAAAACTCACTTTTGTGACAAATGCAAATACTCACTTTTGTTTGTCTCTCCTATGGTATTTGTTGTGCTATAAAATTTCGCTTTTGAAGAAAATTAAGAGCGATAAACAAATATGATTTTTTGACATTTTTTGGATTTTTTTTAATTAAAAACCTGTGGTCTCTTTCTTGGATGTTTTAAAATATTTTGAAAGTTTGCCAGGTCGTAATATAAGGATTAGATATCCAGGGGTAAATAACATTACCCTATTTTTATGTTGTTTTTTTTGGTGCTGTCCTAAAGTATTAAGGTGGTACTAGCCCAAAAAATTTTAAAATTTTCAGATTTTTTTTTTTTTTTTCTAAATTTGAAAAATAGAATCATTATAGATTTCAAAAATGTATAGTTTTACTATGTTTTTAAGTAATTTAGTGACAGAAAATGTTAATTTAGAAATACGATCTTTAAAAAAAACCCTTAGCAACCGCATAGCAACAATAAACAATGCTTACTTTTGGGCTAATTTTCCATAAATTTCATCAAACAATTAATTTTTTATTATTATCCTACATTTCATATATATCTACTTTGCTTTATATCAACTTTGCAACTACGTTAATTCCATTTTTAATACTTAAAATGAATTGTATAGTGAGAAGGAAGTGAATTTATATTAGTATATCAATAACTGCTTGTTATGATTATTTTATTGAATTTATTACATTTTATTTTTCACATTTTACTGCTGATGTATTCTTAGATGGGAAATAAAAAAAATAGTAAAAGAATAAAAAAAAGTTATTTTCATGGAAATCAGTATAAAATGTCTGATCAACAAAACATTTCACTGGAAAGTGCTTCTTATTTAAATAAGTTTAGTAGAACTAAATGTACAAGTGTTAAAAAGTTGAACAAAGCAGTATTGGCAGGTCAGCTAAAAAAAAACAGATATCTAATGACCTTAATTTTTTTATATTTATAAATTTTGGCATTATGAAAGATTTATTTGAGGAATTCTCACGCTGTTCTGAGTGTAGCTCACCTGTAAAGCTTACACATATTGAAAATGAACACCTAGGGTTTTCACTTGAATTATGTATAAAATGTAGTTTTTGTTCAGCATGCAGATTTTCGTATACTTCTCCTCAATTCATACCTTTACAAAAAAGTAAACTTGTAAAAAAAGCACATGAAATTAACTATCGCGCAGTTATGGCTTTTCGTGAGAGAGGTAAAGGTCATGCTGGTATTGTAACAATTTACAACAATGATGAATATGCCATTTTCTATTGGATTTACTTTGTATAAAAAAAATTAATGAGACTCTTTATTGGGCATATGAAAAATCTGCTGAAAAAAGTACCCAAAAAGCTGCACATGAAGTGCGTCAAATATTTAACATCAATGCGTGTAGCAATGATATTATTGACTGTCATACTTCTATTGACGGGACATGGCAGAAAAAGGGTTATTCTTCCCTGAATGGCGTGGTATCTGCAATTTCAAAGGATAATAAAAAGGTCTTAGACTATCACACCATGTCAAAATTTTGTAAATCTTGTGAGATTTTGTCTAAAAGAAAAGGATCAGCTGGTTATGACCTATGGAAAACAAGACATAAGTGTGCATTTAATCATCACGAATCATCAGGTGCTATGGAATCCGCTGGTGCTATTTCAATTTTTTGTTCTTTATTAAGTAAGTTTAACTTAAGGTACAGTCATTACATAGAAGATGGGGACACTACAGCATACAGCAAAGTTAGAGAAGCAAGACCTTATGGAGAAACTTTGATACCAGAAAAACTAGAGTGTCTCGGTCATGTTCAAAAGAGACTTGGAACAAGACTTCGGAATCTACGAGCATTAAAAAAAAAAAGAAAAGTTGCATGGCAGTAAAACTCTCTCAGGTAAAGAAAGATTTACTGATGCAAGTATTGATTTAATGCAGAATTACTTTGGTATGGCTATTCGTCAGAATGATAAGCTGTACCCTATGAAAAAAGCTGTACTTGCAGTTTTATGGCATTGCTGTGAAGGTGATGCTGCTATGCGCCATCAATTTTGTCCCAGAACCAATACTAGCTGGTGCAAATGTGCAAAGGGATAAGATTACAGGCCAATGCACTTATAAAAACAAGTTAAACTTATCAGTTGCTATTAAAAACCTATTACATCCAATATTTATGGAACTTAGTTCTGACAATCTTTTGTCAAAATGTTTACACAGCTATACCCAAAATCCTAATAAGTCTTTTAATCAAATAATCTGGGAAAAATCCCCCAAAACACATTTTGTTTCAAAAAGGGTTTAGAGTTAGCTGTTTTCTCAGCAGTTATATCTTTAAATGGAGGTTTCGTTTCGCATAAAAAAACATTTCAACAACTTGGATTTCATTGTGGAAAATATTTTCTTCTCGGTGCAGTTAAAAAAGTCAAAAATCGTATCATTCATATGGAAAGGTTGTGACAAAATCAAGGAGGAAAAAATTGAGAGGTATAAGAAAAGGATTTAGCAAGGATGACTCTTATGTGTCTGGAAATTTTTAAAGATATATATTGTTAATGTTGTTTTATTTTGTTTACTTGGATTTTCTCTGTTAACAGATTTTTAAACTTCGAACAAGAATATCTTTTGAACTACTTGGAGATTATGGCTAAAATTTTTTACAGGTTGTTCATCAGGTTACTGTGAAGGGATTTGACCAAAAAGAGAATTTTATAGTTAGCTGTTGTTGAGATTTTGACATAGGCAGCACAAATTTTACATAAAAATTAAAAATTATTTTTTAAAGTGCAGCCATTTTGATTCCGTCAAAGTTCTGATGGTGATTCTGGTCAAATCCCTCAATCAACATGTTGTTTACCTTTTTGCAATATTTTAGCTTCAAACTCTTACTATTTTATGAGAAATCCTTGTTTGAAAATGCAGTTAAAATTGCATATTTTTTGCTGACTCAGCATGTTTTTGAGTATAATTATACTTTTTATTATATTTACTCTAAATAATTTTTAAATACGCACAGTTTAAAAAAAATATTGCATCAAAATTAAATAAATTGACTGTTTTAATTTTTATGGGCTAATACCACGTTTATTAATATTTAAAAGTTTTTGGTATTCAAATCATTAATCCACAACAACAGTGCAAAGCCTTTTCCATAATAAATATTTGTTTTGGTAGATTCGTTGTTGTTTTTTTTAGATGCTTGATGATAAAGGCAACACAGCTGTGTACTTATTATATGCATATACAAGAATCAGGTATCTCATTGTTTGAAGTTTCATACATATAAATTTTTTATTTATTCATTTACTTTATCTATAAAACGCGATGTTTGTTTAGATCAATACAAAGAAAAGCGAAGGTTGATGAACAAGTCCTTAATTTATATATAAGTCAAAATAGCATTAATTTATCTCATGAGAAAGAATGGAAACTTGGTAAACTTTTATGTCGCTTTCCAGAGGTTATAACTCGCTGTGCGAACGATTTAATGTTACATCCGCTGTGCGAGTATTTATATGAGTTGGCTTCCACTCTAACTGAATTTTATGATGCTTGTTACTGCATCGAAATCAATCGGGAAACAGGAGAAATCTTAAGTGTTGACTTGAACAGAATTGCAATTTTAGAAACTGTAGCAAAATTTTTTGAAACAGGTTTTTATATACTTGGTTTAAAACCCGTCACAAAGATGTAAAAAACAGGTTTTTATATACTTGGTTAAAAACCATCACAAAAATGTAAAAAGTTACAAGTATTTATGCTGTAGTTTTTTTATAATTCAAAAAAGAATTTTCGCTGTGAAAAGAAATAGATTAAATTTGAGTATGCAATTGTTTTATCAATTTTTTTTTCATGCCATTCAGTTTGTTTGTTGTAGTTATGAAAATAAACTTTTTTGTGTTTTGTCTTTTTTGTTGCGGTTATCTGGTATCTGTTGTAAAGAGTGACATGGGGACGGTTATCGCGGTATTATTATGACTGCCCCCATTCGCGGTAATGGGGGCATTACCGCGAATGGGGGCAGTTTTAAAATAAGTGAGGGTAATACCGTGGTAATAGGGACGATGTTTGCGGTAATACCGCAGTAATTTAATGACTTTTTTTTATACATGTATCAAAAATTAGTTTTCAATATAATTTCTTTGCGTTAGGACAAACGAGACATAGAAAAGCTAATAATTTTGCGGCCGTGGCGCAGTGGTTAGAGCACTTGCTTTATAAGCAGGGGATCCATATTCAAAACGAGCTTTAGACTTATATCACGTCACGGTAAGAAAGGAGGCATGAACTTCCTGGTTAAATGCACTTCCGCGGTGCTCTGTGACAAAACCGTTAGGGCACCTAAAATAACAAATAAAAAAAATAATGAAAAATTATAATATGAAAATGTATATTAGTATTAAAAATATTACAATATGTTATAACATTTGATAGAAATGATAATTTTGCTTCCGGGGAAACCTAAAAGCAATGCGGGATTAGGATGAAGACAACGCGGTGGGGATGGGGACAAAAACACGTCTATATGTCACTCTCTAATCTGTTGTACTAGCGATCGTTTTTAATTCTAATTTCGGATAAGACGTTAAAAGATCAAAATATACTTTTTATTTTATTTAAAATGTCTGGAAACAGGTAAATGCATGAAGGGAAAAAAGAGTATTTGTCAATGTTACATCCTTTGAAAAATGCCACAAATAAGTGGTTTTGGTTCTGCAAATAGTGAAAAATGCCACAAAGTAGTGGTTCTGATTCTGCAGCTGTTTTCAATTTTTATCTGCGTACAGCTGTTTTCAATTTTTATCTACGTACACAATTAAAAGATTTCGAAATTTACATCAGGGTATTTTGACATATAGTGGCGATCACCCAATGCAATTAGTAAGTGATTAAAAACAAAAGCAGATTTCAATACAATTATAGTTATACTGATAATTAAACGTATAATAATAGTAATGAATGTAATAATTAGTTATTAGAATGTAATAATTAGTTATTAGAATGTAATAATTAGTTATTAGAATGTAATAATTAGTTATTAGAATGTAATAATTAGTTGTTAGAATGTAATAACTAGTTGTTAGAGTTTGGTGTGGTTACATTCGCATCATTTGTAATAATAATTAAATGTTTAATAAAAATGTTTTTTTCTGTAATTTTCGATTTTTTTATACGTACAAAAACGTATAAACTATAGTGGTGATATATCACCCTCGAGACAAAAAAAAAAAAAAAACAGAGCTGAAATTTATTAAGCCAGGTTTTTCAAATAAATATGCCATATTTCATTCAAAGGTAATAGCACCTAAATAACATTTAGTTTTTTGCTAATTCAATGATGTAAATTTAGTAGAAAAACAGTAACTAACCGATAATGGGTTTGATTTGATTGTTGGATATGTAACTGATAATTTATATGTGTATTGCTCTAATTATTGGTGGTTGAGTTTATTAAATGCAAGAAATTCGTTTAACTTTAGTTAAACTTGCAGACAAGTTAAGATATACTTCAAAAGTGTTTTTACCGTAGATAACGGGTACTCAATTAACACAAACAGTTTTATTAATAATTTTATTAATATTGAGACCGTAATATTTTCTCCTAATATATTTCATAAAAAACTAATAAATATTAGTCACATCATATCATTTAGATACCAAATAAATTTATAATGAAATTAGCATACTTAATACTGTAATCCGAAATCGAAACTTTACAAAAATGCTAATATTGTGCAAGATTTTAAAATAACTTGGATCACAAAAGTTGCATTCTTAAATGATATAACTCACTACAATTTATTACAATATTATTTAATACAAATTATTACAATTTCATTGATGCGCCTTAACTTAAATATCTTTTCGGAAAATCTGCCACCGGCAAGATTTTCCGGTGATAAAGATACCTTAAATAGAATATATGCATATATATATATATATATATATATATATATATATATATATATATATATATATATATATATATATATATATATATATATATATATATATATATATATATATATATATATATTCTAGTTTGTATATATACAAATTTTTTGGTATTTCAAAATTAAATCAAAATGGTCAACTTTTGACCTGTGCTACTAAGAGAAAAAAAATTATTATTCAACCAGGATAATTATTACAAAATTATACAAAAAATATTAAAATTATTACAAAAAATATTTTTTTTGAAATTAGCTTTGTAATTACTATTTATCTATTTACTAATAGATATTAAAAATAACCAATTGTAAGCTTATTTGGACTTAATTGTAAACATTTTGGTATGAGTTAATTTTTTTTTTACATTATAGCAGTTCGCAAGATATCATTTTTGAATTTTGAAATAACACGATTTAAAAATCAAAACTTAAGGAGACGGCATGAATAGTTTTTTATTACTTAAGTTTTCTCTGCACCTTTTAAAACAATAACTTAATAATAATTTAGTAATTCTAATTTCGCGAGTTGTTAATTGATTTTATAAATTTTGTTCATACAGAATTTTTAAGTGCTTCAACAAAAATTGAGCTTAGCGATAATCGGGTTCCCGCCAGATAAAAAATAGAAATTCCAGGACTTTCCATGACAATTTTTTTCTTTTTCCAGAACATTTGCTTCATTATTTCCTGGACTTTTCTAGGACTTACAAAAAAAAAGTTATAAACTCCAGAACTTTCCAGGACTTTTTTATAGATAGCCCAAAATAACACAAAATACGCTACTAAATGTAAATAATATAGAAATCAAATGTAAAAGAAATACATTACAGCTACATAAATACAGCTAAATCACTACCGCTACAAAACTAAATGTAAATTCAAAAAATATTTGACAAGGAACTTTTTTTTATTTGAAAAGAAACTTTTAACGCAACCAATTTCAAAAACATCAGAATCATTTCAAAAACTCATAATAGAAATACCGTTTTAGCAAAACAACAAAACAAAAATGAAAACTTTACTTAATAACTATGTGTCAATTAGACGTAAGGCAATAAGACTTTCATTTCAGATTTTCGACAAGAAGTTGTTTATTAATACTAAAGCCAGGCTCAATGGATGATTGTTCATTTGAAAGCACAAAAACTATTTTAAAAACGCTTCAAACGTCTTGATAAGTTTTATTTGCTCCAATAAAGTCAGAAAAAAAATGATCAAGAATATAATTTTTAATATCGAAATCTTGAAATGATTTTCGATTTTAGTTTCTAAAAACTTATGATAATGATTTTTCGCTAGTTCGGCGGACTTTGATGACAAACGGCCATATTTAACTAATAGATACTGCAGTGCGTATTATGACAAACTTCAAAGGGGACTTCTCAAGGAAACGTGTTAATAGACCATGTAAAACTGGTCTGCCTCTTTTTTAAATATAGCCACTTTTTGATCACTGTAACTTAAATTAGCTTTATTAATTTTTAACCGACCAGCAAAACCAATATCAATTTCATTTATAGGTTTTCTAATATTTTTATCCATTAAATTCATTTGAAGTTACTGGTATAGATTGCTACACTTATTTAAAACGTCTTTAGCATGGTTCTCCTGAGAATGTCTTTTAGCATGATTTTCCTGGGAATGTCTTTTAGAATGATTCTCCTGGGAATGTTGTCAACTGTTTTATCAAATGTAATAGCCATAAATAGAACCATAGGTTTGTCTGTTTAAAAGCATTTCAAAAAACTTTTTAACTTTTCAGAAAACATCTCAAAAAATTTAAGTTTAGCTGGCAAAACAGGATCATGAACCATGGTATTCATTTTCTGTCAGCTTTTATTTTTTGAATCATTTTGTTTGCTTTTCTTAAGACTACTGAAATAAATTATAAACTTTTTATATCCATCAAGTATTGATTTAGCCCTTTTGTGCACATCTTTCATTTTCACCCCACCTATGCCTACAATGCAGATTTAAATAATTCTAAAACAAGCAAATTCTTAAACAAGCTACTTTTTAAATCATTTAAAATATTACTCTGCATTGCATAATTAAGTGTCTTCATTGCATAATTAAGTGATGTTTTCATAGGTTGCTCTTCTACTAGGAGAGTCATGTAGAAGTTGCCACATTGTTTATAATAAATTATTTAGTTCCCAGCCTCTTGCTTTTGCCCCTGCTTTAAAATTGCCATAAATGATATAAAGAACACAGGTTCTAATATCTATAAGAGCATCGACTTTTTTCTCTGTTTTTTAAATTATCTAGAAAAAAGAAATTTACATTTGGCCCATCTGATGACACTTGTAGAAAGTTTGATTTGTCTATATCAGAAATACAGTTTAAGAATGTTTGCACTCTCATTCAATCTCCCATTTTAGAAATATTAGTATCTTTTGCATAATAACTGCAAATCATAAGAGTTTCAAACAAGTTTTACTTGAAAAATACATTTTATTTTTAGGCATTTTATAATTATTTTATCTGAAAACAAAATAGAGCGTAAACATTTTAGAAGTCAAAAAGAATTTAAAATCTCTAATATTTTGCGCTTGTAAAAAATATTCAAAACTAAACAACAATGCAATAATTAAATAGTAATTGAAAAAATATCAACAGTCTATATGTTTATGATTTAGGGAAACTTCTATGATAATATCTTACAAATAATATTTTTAAAACAAACTTATTGTGGATGTGTAAATTTTTTTTTTTAACTTTTAAAAAAAGTACAAATTTCAAAAACATTATAAGGATTAGATTTTCCATAAAAATTATAAATTAAATTTTATTACGATAATTTACTATTATTAGTACTGTAGTTGTGTTGTTGTTGTCAACCCATTTTTGCTTAAAAACATTATTTTACTTAAA